GGACAACAGTAAATATATTACACCGGACAACAGTAAATACATTACACCGGACAACAGTAAATACATTACACCGGACAACAGTAAATATATTACACCGGACAACAGTAAATATATTACACCGGACAACAGTAAATACATTACACCGGACAACAGTAAATATATTACCATATAACCATATTACACCGGACAACAGTAAACATATTACACCGGACAACAGTAAATATATTACACCGGACAACAGTAAATATATTATACCGGACAACAGTAAATATATTACACTGGACAACAGTCAAATTGTGTAGAAGTATACAACAAGATATATATAAGTATAACATTTCTAGTCGTTTCGGACTGTTCATGATTACACGAAATATTTACAGACTGAGATAATTTCATGATGATCTTATTTTTTTTTATTACCGCACCACAGACGCGAAATATATTAACAAAATACGTAAATGGGCATCCCTGGGTATACGAGGCGAGAGATGTGTCTTTATACAAGTTTATGTTTTAACAATAAAGCTTTTAACGTACAATTATCAATAATATCTCAGCAGAAAAAGTATCAGTATTTATGTAACGTGTACAGAATGACGAACTTTTAGAGTTACGAGCTAGAGGTACATCGCAAGAGCTCTGTTGGTTGAAAAGATAAGTAATATGTGTATATTTGGATACGAAGTTTGAGTATCAAGAATGTTTATGAGCACGCGTAAATTTTGTTACACCTGTATGATGAGCAAAATAATTGAGGATATAGATAAATCAGACTAACGAACATACAGTAATGGATAGGAACACACGAACAAATATTTTCAAGGTGCGCTTGCAAAAGGAGAAAGAAAAAATCTATTAATACATGTAGATGGCTACATGGATAGGATAGCGGATTTATGAGTTTAACAAAAAAAAATAGCTTCATTAGTTCAATAAGCCGTGAGCACATCCTGAGAACCACAAAAGTATTGAACAAATTCTGATGTAAGCTTGAATTATATACTCGATTTGCATACATCGTGTTAATATATTCTCAATTAGAAGATCTATATAGAATAAAATTTGTGAATACAAGTTTCATGCTATTGCTGAAAAGACAAATGTATAAATGGCTACAAAGTTGAACATGTTTTAGCTAAAATGCGTCCCGAGGAAACTGACAGTCGAAATCGAGACGTGGACTTAAGAAAAGGCACATAGATCCTGTGTTGATATAAGACACATATCACCGTCGGAGTGTCAGCCCACGACGCTGACCCCAACTAGGTGATATCACATATTGTGACCGAAGGGTTCAAGTTCAGATTCCCGCCGGATTTGAAAGATTTTGGAAGATTTGTCTTTAATCAAAATCTTACCGTTTGTTGTCCAAGTCTGCGATATCTGGCTACTCTTTACTAGGTTCCTCGCGAGGAAGGCTAAGCGACCACGATATTTAGTGAGGTCCTCGTTTACGGAAATGCCTTTGTAGGGATCTTTGGAACGAAACCCGCGACTTGACTTTAACAGAGTAAATTTAGCGTCTACGGAAGTCAAACGCGCGATGATTTGACGTGGTTTTCCTCTGTTCTGGTCCGGTTTACCAACTCGATGAGATCGCTCCAGCGCCTGAGAGGGGAGGTCGACACCACATTCTCTAGCTGCGTCCAGAATGATTGCGGAAGTGTCCTCTCCAGGCTGCTCTGGGAAGCCGGAGAAGCGAACGAGGGTTCTCCTCCCATACTGCTCCAGGTCGTCCAGCTGATGGCGCAGCTCGTCGTTTTCAACCTCCAGTCTGGCCACTTTCTCTACCAGAGGTGCCATCTGTTGTTGAACAGCATGTTGGACATTTTGCTGTATGGCCTGCAGGTCATTGGACATGTGAACTCGGACAGCCATGGCGATCCTCTGGACGTCAATGTCCGATAATTTCGCATTCCCGGGATCAGCAGCCTGGAAATTAGCTGTCACAGAAAAACTGGGTAGCGGAAAAGGTAGAAGGCCTGGCAGGGGATGTTGGATTCCCTGCTGGAGGGATGGGGATGAAGTTCAACTTAAAAATGACACAACTAATTTTCATCTAAAAATCAATATATATATATATATATATGTAACGAAGAAATGTTAAATTTACTGACCAGAGACATACATTTTGGAATTTTATCTTCAAAACGATATATTGATATTTTTCGGAAATGCAGCTATACAATCTTTTTTTAATCGTTCACCTAGAGCGAGAAATCCGCAGAGACGCTATGCGGTATGACCCCAATAGCTGCATAAGTTACATTTTGAGTATAGATAGAGAGGAATTAAGTTTGTGTAGAAGTACTATTTATATAGGGGTTGAGATCAGGTCGGGTGGGGTGGGGGCGAGGGGTCTTGTATGACCGCTGTACCACGGGGTCCCCTTTATGTTTAATCGTTAATGGACTTAATGCCTTAAATGTGCGTCTTTTTATTATTTATTTTTCTCCGAATTAAGTCGTTTGTTTACCAAATACTTGAAGGGGTGTGTTTTATTTGTATTTTATCTGTACAGTTTTGGCAGCAATCATTCTGCTCGGGGACACAACTGCCTTCGCTGAACGTGTTGACTATTTTACGAATGTGAATGCGGGGGAGGGGGAGGGAGAATAGAGGAGAACACCACATACCTCATGAGTTGTCATTATGTATCAATAAATGAGAGGATCGGTAGTAATCCTCTCTGGCACAGCCCCCCTTGGTATCTTGAGAATTCTACCTGTTGTGTATAGTGTTGTGTAGGTTTCTGATGTTTGGGAGTTGTCTCCCTTTGACCGTTCTGTTTACCGTTATATTTAATCTAAGTGGTCGATCTTTCTTAGGAATTCGACGAGCAGCACTAGTCTTTTGTATGTGAAGTTAAAACTTAGCTGTTGGATGTGTTTCATATTTTTATTCTATTGAGTTCGGATAATGAGATCTTTGAAAACACTCAATTTTCCCTCGTGGTTATATACTGTGGCTTCAGCAACGACGATTTCACCGGCTGACATTCTTCTGCGGGCAGAGTGCAAGATAAATGGAATACCGACATGTCATAAATGCAGTATCATTAAATATGTCTTCTACATACATGTACAATAACCATTTAGAACTGGAAACGGAATTCTGAGACGCAACATACACTACAATATCTAAAATTTGTTTGTGAAACTGAGCATGTGTACTATTTGGATGTATATCTATTTTAACCGTTGTCATCATGAACTCAATACGATACAGCTTCTAGTCGCTCAAATTTATCTCCACAAGTTTTGTACCATATACACCCAGTCAGCGTGGTGTTGTTTTACTCTTTTCTCTGTGGTGAAAGTGAATTATAAAAAAATTACGAATTACTGTGTGGATAGTGTTTATAAGAGGTCACCACCCCATACTTTTGCACAAGATAAAGGAGTTTGAGTCCACAGAAGCTCTTAAGTCAACTTTATGCCCGAGACATTCAAATGGGTTTTTGATTATCTTAACTTATATTCGTTATCTGACAAAATGAATTTATTGATAATTTACATCTGTGCTATGTTGGTAGTAAAACCCTGTGTTAAAAGTAAATACAATTGAAGTAATTAAGAAAGTGCAGAGTGGAAAGAATCCTGGTTGAAACGGCCTTATGGAACACTATTAAATTGAGCTTTTAGAGATGTTTAAAGAAGGTCTGGACGAAAAACAGGACTAATGATTATATGTTTATTAAATACTTACATGTTTCAACCTCCACATCTCTATCACCCTCGTTCCTAATTATTACCGTTATCTTTTTCTAATACACTGTAACTGCAATCGACCTTGTTATATACCACTTCCTACGAATTAATTAAGGTGAGGATTTTTCTACTCGTTTTGTTTATTAGTCAGTGCGGTATTATCTAACAATTGCTCTGAGAATCTTTCTATCATGACATTATACATCTTTTCTTCCTGGTTCAATTATGAAGTAATGTTTTCTTTGGACAAATCACATAGTTTGCTTTGACTGATATCTAGAATTCGACAAATTGCACAAAGAAATCAATATGTAAATACCAGTAAGTGTATCCGCAGTTTAGTCATTAATTCGGACTAACTTTGTATAAATGTACATGTTTGATATAAATGTTTACGTTTAAAACTTCCTGAACTTGATAAATAACCTGTAAAACAGAACAAAATTTTCACTTTTTGTCGATGTTAAGCAATGTTATGCCACCAGTGCTGATTACAATCAAAACTAATCTGGAAAGATAATACATACCAATAAATAGACGAATAAATAAAATAACTAATATAATAAATACGTAAAGCAAATAAATAAATAGATGATGGCGGGGGGGGGGGGGGGGGGGGGGGGGGGGGGGTAACACTGATGATATATCATTTCTTGAAATGTTGTTCATTAGTAAGTCACTTGGTTGTCAATATTTTTGGTCCAAAAGGGTACCACAGTGTCTACATCGTGTATTTGTGTATTAATGATATCCATTTGATTCACATAAATGTAGATACAGTTTTAACGATCGGATAAAAGCCCGGTCTCGGCATTGCAATTAACAGGAGGCGAGCGCATTGTTATGATATCGATGACTTGAAATGATGGGAAGTTTGTCATTTTTAAATATTTTCCCATCATTTCTGGATTAAGACATTGATTTTATTCTTATATACGTATCTAAGGCAGATATAACGATATGCGAGTAGAAACAAAAGCCTATGCGCCCCCGGTATTACAAATAACCAGATTTATATCGAATTATTGCGATATCACTGGTTGCTAATACCCATAACTCGGACAATTTCTCATAATTTTGCATCATATTTTGACTATCATGTTGACATAGGTACAAATAAAAAACACACATAGTTCACGGACGTTACGGGCGGTGCCGGACTGTGCTGTAATTAGTATCACCAATGTAAAATTACCGTGTCGACAACATAGATATCTATGGTCGACAATCCTCGACCCTTCCAAACATCGCACAGACGTAGATTAAAAAGCGTGAGCACGGCTGAACTAAGTGCCAGCTCATATCTGATGAAATCGGCTTTTCCACTTATTTTTCGTCTTTATTGTTTGAGTGGTGTGTCAGTCATCAGACGCAACCGTTTTCATACTTCCTTTACTTCTTCCATTCAGAACCGCGTTTGTTTTGGCTTTACAAATTCATTATTTAGGAGTTGCAGGCGTCACTTCACATCAACTTTATTTTGTCGTAGTTTTACTGTAGAGAATTCGAAAGTAGTTATGCCTGACAAAAAACCTTTCCAGCGTCTGTTGTTGGATGCATGTCCAGTCAACTACAGCATTCGGCTGCAACCAAATCTTAAATCCTTAACGTTTGAGGGATCCGAAGACATTCAGGTCAAGGTTTGTATTGGGCATATAATAATGATTGCACAACCTTTTCTACAAAACAAATTAACATTATTTTCAACGAGAACTTATCTCATATGCGGCCTATCCAGTTGTATGTCGTTTATACTATGTACATGTAAGTCTTGTAATATGTATACATTTTTACCATGTCATGCTGGATAACATGTGAAACCCAACTGACGATGGCCATTCATGAACTTGTCACAAACTTTGAAATGGTCCACCAGACCAACACTGCCATCCTTGACTTTTTGAAACTATTTGAGTATTTGCCATGCTGAAAGCTCATGAATTGAATAAGAAGCAACTTAAATCAATGAGCATTTCTCACTGAGCAATACATCTGAGTGGTAGTATGGGAAGGTTAATCTCTGAATGAGTCACCTGTTGCTTCAGGTAACCTGCTAGGAACAGTCATTTTACTTTCCATAGTTCGGCAAGATCATTTCCAAAGGCATGCTTAACAATCTCATCCTAGGTGCCACCAACTTGTCTAACTATTCATCCAATTGAATTTTGAGAAAGCCAGAAGAAAACGGCCAGATTCATATTCGAAGACGGAGGAAGTAGGTTTTGACAAAGATGCTGAAGGACCTAGATCTAAGTTACAAATGTACTCTTCTGCGCTGCTATAAGGAACTCACGCAGACATTCAGGTTGAAAAAAGTTGATGGTTTGTGCTGGCACTTGCTTAATCTCTTTAACTGAAAGCAGAAATTGAAAAACTGCAATGATTTATCTACATTTTAAAATGTCAGGACGTTTTAATATATACCAAACAACAAGTACATAATGGGACATTCCTTAGTGTTTGACCAATTTTCAATATTGATTGAGGATTACTTTCTGCCTTGTCAACAACAACTGTTGATTACGAAAATGAATAACCAATTTTAAGGGAGGTTATTCATTAAAGAGATAAAATCTATACTCAGGAATTCCTAAGAAATTGAGTCTGAAAAGGTTGAGTAATCTTTGAAATAGGGTGATATATAAATGAGCATGCAAAGCTAGTATCTATGCTCATCTGATGAAAGACCGAAAGGCGGTAATAAGGGATGTTAAACCTGTTAAAAAGCAAGTATAACAGAAATTCTTAATGGTTTCAAAATAAATAATGAATGACAAGGAGTAGATGGGAGGCCTCCGACCACGCTTACATTTGCGGGTCATTGTACACCAGTGTAGTCCACAAGGAAAATCACAATTAATGAATTATTTTTCCTGACTTATCTGTGACATATGTATTTTAAGCCCACCATCATCAGATGATGGGCTTTCTAATCACTCTGCATCATTGGTCTGTGGTCCGTTCCGTCCGTAAACAATAATTGTTATTGCTTTTTCTTGAGAAGTACTGGATGGATCTTTGTCAAAGTGCTTATGTAGGTTCCTCTTGGTTCCTAGTTGTGTCTGTTTGATTTTAGGACTGATGAAAAATAACCAAAATAGCCGACAGGCAACCATCTTGGATTTTTTCAATGAAGTTTGTTATGCTATTTCTTGAAAAGTAAGAGATATATCTCTTTCAAATTTTGATATGTATATTCCCCTCGGTCTCTAGTTGTGCCCATGTAATTTTGGGTCTGATAAAAAAAACAAGATGGCTGACATGTGGACATCTTGATTTTTGATATTGAAAGATTGTTATTGCTATTTCTTATGAAATACTGGATGGATCTCTCTCAAATTTCATATGTAGTTTCCCTTTTGTCCCTAGTTGTGCCCATTCAATTTTGGAACTGATCAGAAAAACAAAATTGCCTTTGCAAGTTTTTCATCGCAATTTCTTGATAACTGCTTTATAGTTTTTTCTTAAATTTCATATATGGGTTCTTTTGGTCCCTAGTTTTGCTCATCTCATTTTGGGACAGATGAGAAATACAAAATGGCTGACAGGTCGCCGTCTTGGATTTGACTTTGAAAGTTTTTTTTCATTATTTCTTGAGAACTACTGTATAGATCTTCCTCTCAAGTTTCATATATAGGTTCCTTTAGGTCTCTAGTTGTACCTGTGTGATTTTAGGACTGATCAGAAAAACAAAATGGCAGACTGGCAGCCATCTTGGATTTTGCTTAGTAAAGATTGTTATTGCTATTTCTTAAGAAGTACTAAATGGATGTATCTGAAATTTCATATGTATGTTCCCTTTGGTCTCTCCTTGTGCTCATTTGATTTTGGGACTGATCAGAAGAAACAAAATGGCTTCATGGTGGCCTTTTTGGATTTGGCAGGTAAAAATTATCATTGCTTTTTCTGCAAAGGAATGTTCATGTCTTTCATTAAAAGCAAAACAGAGAAGAGAAAAGAAGGGAAAAGATCAACTTTCAAAGAGCATATAAAAATTAAACAATGGTGGGTGCCAAGATCCATCTGAGATCTCTTGTTTTTTTTTAAATTTTTGCATGAAAATGATATACAATATTATCAGTTCTAGTGCTTAAATATTCTTACAACATAGTTTTCATGTTGATGTTGAATGACACAAATGAGTTTTATTGAAATAAGTACTTCCATTATAATAAAGTAGGGTATTGACATTCAAATGATAATACTCCACTTTAGTGCAGGTGATGAGGAACGTTTTAGCTCTTATTAAGGTTCAGTTTGAGTAGATCTATGAAGCAGTATTAAACAATCGGATCCTTTGCAGACTTTCACAATATTGTAATTTTCATTTTCCTTTGGTAGAACATAGAGGGAAATTAATTGTGGTCTGAGGTGTCACAGGTGTCAGATGTTTTAATCATATTTTTCTCAATAACTTAAAGCCTACGAGTGCTGACATTGGGCCTGTAGTGTGCTGGGATTAAGAGCTATTATCTTTCTTCAAATGAATAACCTTGATCCACTTTCAAGGTCATAGTAGTCAAGCATGTTAAAGTCTTCAAACAATATCTTCTCAATAAGCAAATGGCTCAGGGTGCTGATACTTGGCCTGTAGCATACTGTGATGATCACAGTTTGTTCAGTTATATAATAAAACAAAAAGGAATCTCAACATCACAAAGACTTTTGGTAAAGCTGTCTAAATGTTTCGGCCGCTATGCGACCGTCATCAGTTTGTTCAGTTGAATAACTTTGACCAATTTTCAAGGTGGCAGCGGTTAAATGAGTTAAAATCTGCAAACAACTTCTTCTCAGTGACCAAAGGTAAGGGGTACTGATATTGGTAGATGTAAGATTTAAATGATTGACCTTCACATACTTTCAAGGTCACAGAAATTTCCTCCTTCAACAAGCTCTGGGTCCTTGGTCATAGTATCTGTATCTTGACTCAGAATCAATGATTCATAAATATGTATTGGTGTGACAAGGCATTAATTTCCAACCCATGGTTCATATAGATGTATTATACTGACAGTAATTCATATTTATGAACTGTTGGTTGGAAATTCATGCCAAGTGTTTGTGTGTGATGAAACATCTTTTAGCTGAACTAATTTGGGTGCCTACCTGGGGCTGCAAGTGAATATACAGTGAATAGTGTTGCTATCTTCAAGGACCTATACATACTGATTGTTTCACTGTAGTAAAGCAACAGCTTGGGGGAATAACTCCTTAGGAAGAGTCAAGCTTGTTTTGGAAAATATTGCAGAAAATGTACACTTGCTCCATTGGCTTTTTAGTGGTTTCCTATGTAGCTTCACATTGTGATTGGTGAATGCGAACATCGTCTGTTTACTTTATCCTGACAAACCTACTGTCTATTTTATAAGAGATACAAAGTAAAACACCATGATTTTATGTGAAAATTATTTCAACTGTGATATAGCATACTTTCTGTAATGGTTGTCAAAAGGAGTGATAAAAAGTATCTGAAAATCTTAAATGTTTTCGTTTCCTATGTGATTTATAAATCGTTCATTTAAACTTTACCAAGGCTCGCTTGAATAAAAAATCCTTTAGCTTCATTTCATAAATCATAATAAAATGGAAATTTTGATATGAAACCTATCTTATAGTTTACTCTGTGTTTTACAACCAATACAATGATGTATAATCAAATTTGTAGAAGCTGTATCAATAATATTCTTTGTAAACCTCCTGGTACATGCTACTCCAAAATTACACTGGTATAATATTAATATGTTTTTTTTTAATTACATCTATATTTCATGCATTACAGGTTCAGAAATCATTGACATCCATTAAACTCAATTGTTGTGAAATTGATGTGAAAGAAGTGAGCTATCAGGCAGATGGTAAGTACTTTGTGCTAAGTACTCCGTAGAATATGCATTTAGCAACACTTGTATTATTAAGTGCATTTATGGTGAGAATACAATCATGTTCTGTATTTCTTTAATCCTTTTTGTTGAATTAAAAGGTGAAGATATACCACAAATATTCATTAATTGTAAAATTTTAAATTTTAATGAAAGTATTGAATTTAAATCTGCAAGGTGCAGTGTATTAGGGAATGGTATGTTGGTATGCCAAGCTACAAGAATCATGACATGAGTTTAAGTATGAACAGTAAAGTATCAAAGTCTGAAACAGTCCCTAGATTATAGATCCTACATGACCACTAATATGAATGAAGACAGTAAAACCTGCTACTATCATCACAATTCTTAGTTATACATTTATTAAAAAAGAAGTTCCTATAGCACAACCAGTAGAAGATTAGGGAGTGATGTTTTGATGACTACATGCTGGTCACCTTCATCAGACAAATGACTGTGTGGAGCATTCAAGCACTGATGTACTTAGAGTACGAGATGGTAAGGAATAATCCTAATTGACTTTAGTGTACATAGGATTATAGTATAGTAGAAAAGTTGGTCTATTCCTTACTTTTTCATACACTATGTACGTCAGTTCTAGTACGCTCCACACTGGTCATTTGTCTGATGAAGATGACTGTGTAGTCATGGAAACATCACTATATAATCTTCTACTGATTGTACTATAAGAACTTCTATTCTATTGACATTACCAATCCAAAGAAAACGTTTCGAAATATACATGTATTAGTAATATTAGTTTTTACCCTAACATTGCTGTATTCTATTTCATTTCAGGAGCTACTGACAAAATCAGAGGAGAAATTTCTTACACAAAAGAAGATGAAGTCGTTACATTTTCATTCCCATCTGAAATTCAGGTATGCAATGGTTTCAATTTCCAGCTAAAATTCAGGCATAAAATGGTATAACTTTCAATCCCAGATGAATTTCAGGTAAAAATTTATGCATAAGAAAATGATCATTAGAGCCCTGCATGAAAGTGTGGGTGCACTATATTAATCATGGTATCCTTCCTTCCAGCTGTCTGTCCATTCAACAGCACTTTTGTTTCCTTGGACTGATCAAGCTCAAGCTTCATACAGTGCTTCCTTATTGAAAGTGCTTGCATGGGATTGCTTTTTATCTTCAAAGGTCAAGGTCATTGTTAAAATAAATAGAAAATCAGTTTCTTTGTGAAAACTATGGTTTGTTTTGGCCAATCTAACCCAAACTTCATACAGTACTTCCTTACTGAAAGAGTTTGCTAAGGATTGATTTACAGTTTTGAAGGTCAAAGGTCATAATCACTGTTACAATAAATAGAAAAATCAGTTTCCCCGCAATAACTCAATTTGCTATGGCCAATCAATCAAACTCGAACTTCATACAATGCTGCTGGATTGCTTTTCAGCTTTTAAGGTCAAAAGTCAAGGTCACTTTTACTCTAAATAGAAAAATCAGTTTCCCTGCAATAGCTTTGGCAAATCAAACTCAAACAACATAAATGCTTCCTTACTGAAATGGCTTGCTTTAGATTGCTTTTCAGGTCTGCTATAATGTGGAATATCTCGAGTTTTCTGTTGCCAATCTTACTCAAACCTGATGCAATGCTTCTTAATCAAATGTGCTTGTTTGAGAAAGATTGCCATTCAGGTCCAAAGGTCAAAGGTCACTGTAACTATAATCTTAAATTGGTTTGTGTGCGATTATTTGAGTTTGCTTTGCTTATCTTAATCAAACTTTATACAATGCTACCTTACCAATAGTGCTTGCTTGGAATATTGCTTTTTATATCCCATGTTCTAAGGTCAAGGTCACTGTTATTATTAATAGAAAAATCAATTTGTTGAATGTATGTGTTATTATATTGTTTATTTTTCATAACAGTCTTTATTGACTTTTGTGGCAGAGTGTACTTAAGGTCTTGCTAGTAATCTGTCAGTCTTGGGAGGGGGGAGGGGGAGAGGAGGCACTGGTCTAAGGGTGGGTAGGTGTTGGTTGGGGGATACATAGAGAGGCCCTTGCTGACTTGTCAGTGTTCTAGTTTTTACCTGTTAATTTTCACCTGCCTATTAAAACGTTATTTATGTGGAGATCTCCAATAGCTTTGTATTAATAGCTATCAGACTTAAAAGACTCAATTGCCATGATGTAAAGTTGTGTTTTCCTGAATGGTAGTTTGATATGACTGTATTTGAACGACTGCCTCTTGTTTTCTTTTATAATCTAAATCTTGTCTGGAAGATCTTCATTCTGTTTTCAAATGGACCCTTTTCATGCTTTGTTAGGCTTAAATGCATGGCATGAATCTGTGTTTTATGAACAACAGTTAGATGCAGCAAAAAACTTTTGTAAATTTTGTTAGAAAAGTACTCAAGCAACATGCTTTTTGTGAGTATTTAATAATGTTATATTAATTGCAAGTCAGCAGCTCCAATAAATTTTTAAGGCTGTGTTGAATATTTGAAGAAGTGGTTTAACTTTTTTAGAAGTGAGATATTTCTGCATTGTCATGCAAAATCTAGTTACTGAAAGTGTTTTTCTATCATTTCATTCATGATGTTTAGAAAGCATTGGCTACCTTGTTTTTAGCCCACCATCATCAGATGTTAATTCAAATCGCCCTACATTCGTGTCGTCCGTCAATCAGTCCAGAATCAATTTTTGTAATCACTTTTTCTTGAGAAGGACTGGATGAATCTTTCTCAAATTTCATATGTAGGTTCCCTTTGGTTCCAAGTTGTGCCCAATTGATTTTGGGATTGATCAGAAAAACAAAACGTCTGACAGATGGCCATCTTGGATCTTAACTTTGAAAATTTGTTATCACCATGATACCTCAGGGATCTCTTGTATTCTTTTTATTCCTACTTTTTATTCAAAAAGTCAGTTACGTGAATTTTAATGTAATGAAATAATCATACCTAAAAATGAAATGAAATAGAAGCTGCACTATTTTTACATCCTAGAAGGAGGCCCTTGCAAAAGTATAGTTATACAGTATTGAAATGCCAGAAAAAACGTTTTTTCTACTTGTATACAGAAGAATATAACTGCAATGCTTATCCTTATCATTAAGATATTAAATCACATTTCCCTACTTCATAATTTACAATGACCTTGCATGACTTATGAAAAAATTATGAGTAAAGTAAAACTTACTGACTGTAGTAGTAAAGCTGTTTACTTGATCTTTGTTAGCCTGGAAGTGGAACATTATCAGTGTCATTCAGTGGAGAATTGAACGACAAAATGAAGGGTTTCTACCGCAGCAAATATACAAGCCCAGATGGGGAGGAGAGGATTGCAGCAGTCACGCAGTTTGAGGTTAGTCCTTGTTTACTATGGAAAGTAATAAATCCCAGTTAAGCACTGTCTGCTTCTGACTTTCAAGGGCAAATAGTGTATTGTTGCTCTGTAATGTACATAATTACGGCAGATCAATTCCACCTGTCATAATCTTTTCACCATCTCATCACTTAAAAAGTGTTCAGTGAAACTCACTTGTGTCGAACATGCTATAATTGAATACATCGGATAAGTCAAATGTTTTGTTCGGTCACAAATTTTTTCTTCTTTATCTTAGTAAATTAAACCTGGAGGATTTGAACATTGTTGAGTTGAATATGGCGTTTGTATTGAATACAAATTGTGGTCTATCCTTTCTAAATTATGCTAGAATTTCCCTTTTTGTGCCAAACATTCAGGTGTCACCTTGTCTCAGGTAAAAATTTCCTTACTTCAGTCAGAATGACTGAATGTTATCAGACAGCTGTATCTATGTTAACGAGCTTGAGCCCAATTGTAATATTATATCGAACATTAATCCCTGCATTTACACAGGTGCACAGGTGAAAGTTAGAATTTATACAGAATTAAGCAACCAAACTTCAAATAAAATACACTGTAGTCTGTTAACCGTAAATCTTCAGTGTTTTGTTTACTTTTTTTTATGCACATGGCTGCTGGAAACCAAAAGGAAAAAGCAAGCGATAACTATTGTGCTGGTGCAAATTAATAAAAATACTAGTTTGTCAATGACACATTTGTTAATGATTTTAAATACATTTCCTGGATAGACATGTTAATATACAAAATACAAAGTTTTCTTTGATTATAATACACAGTTACATTCTTTCAGTGCTGTACATGTAAAGTTATGCTTCAGTGACGTTGCTAAAGCCTAAAGCTTTTCGTAACCACCTCAGTGCTATCAAAGTTATATGAATACAGAATGTTCATGAGTACGTATCTGTTGAGTTTTATTCCAAAATATTGTTTACGGGACCTGTTACCCTTAATGATGAAAATGTGAGTACAATATTTGTATTACTGCAGGTATTGATATCACTAAGTTTTGTGTATGACAGTGGGTGCGTGTCAGTGGTTCACATCACATTTTTTTGTTTTATATTCATACTTATAACTGTTTAATTAAATAAATGATATCCTTGGTGTATAAAATTACAAACTGTTTTTTATTTATTTATTACTTATTCATTACCGTCACGCCACACTATGAGACATGTATCCAGTAAACAACTGATCAAAATATGTAAAACATCTCCGTTCATAGAAACACAGCTCAGTCGAACCATTGTATAAGTCAAATATTTCATTGGGTCCCTTTGACCTATCCATATTTACTGTATATAATCATTAGCTACTTCAGCGATAAATTGCTATTTATTATCATCTTGTACACTGTATACCTTAGTGCAGTTATGCTTCACACTGATCATTTTTGTGATGAATGTGACAATTATGGTCATCAAAATGTTACACACAGATTTTCTTACATGTCTTGATATATCTACTCAATTTACAATACATTGTAACAACTTGTAGAAATTGTTTTGAGATAATAAGTTTGAGTGTACTGCTATAGGTAAGGTACTCAATGATCAAGGTCACATTGTCAGATTACCAAAGTTTTTTCACCCCAGGATATTTTTGCCGTTGTACCATTATACTCAAATTCATCTATTTAGTTCGCCTTTGAGGATTATATTAGTGTTACAAATTTCCATCCATACTTTAATTTGCCCTTCTGGCTTATCAAGGATGAGAAAGGCAAAATTAAATAGGGCAAAATTTCCTGTTATTCAGTACTGAAATTTGTGCATTTTATTCCACAATTGTTTGAAACCTACCTGAAAGGTTGTAATCCTTGTAAGGCATTTTTGTGAAGAATAGAAAAATGATATGAAAAGTTTTAACAGATATGTTGTCCACATATGGTTGCAGAAATGCCCTTGTGTTATGTCCACTGACAATTCATCCTTATGTATTTTCATAAGTTATGGTCCTGTGACTGATCACTAGGTATTGGTGTGTTAATTAAACTTTCATTGATTTAGAGCTGATAAGCCTACAATGTATTATGTGTATATGTGCCTGCAATACCAAGTAGCCTTATCAAATACTAATTTAGAGATCGACAATGTTGGAAATACATAGATTCAGATATCAATATAATCAGGACATGTTACTCAAGTTAACATTTATTTTTCCAAGAAAATCAAGATCAAAGAATGTAAATGCCTGTGTCTCTTTTGGGATCCCTTGATTGCTTGACTGTTAGTTGTCTTGCATGAAAAATTATGTATTCTTTTTTTAAATTGTTTGTGGTAAAAATAAGCTTTGGTGTAGATGATTATAATCGTAAATGAATTGGTGAATAAAGGTTGAAATTTCTTGTGTGTAGGCCACAGATGCCAGACGAGCCTTCCCCTGCTGGGATGAACCCTCTGTAAAAGCAACATTCGATGTGACCTTGGTGGTTCCAAAGGACAGGGTAGCTTTGTCTAACATGGTAAGGTGATTGCTCTGTTTACTGTCTAATATAAGTTATACAAATTGTAATCTGTGTTGATCATTAAAGTACTGAAGTATTCTGAGAACTTTTATACAAATGACATTTAGTCCCTTTAGGTTTTGAGTATTTTATCTTACAGCATCAGGGAGGAGGTTTACAACAAGATATTGAACAATTATTTTTTAATAACACTACAGGACAGCAAAATATAATATACATCACCGGGTAGATGTTCCTTTGTATCTGAGTTTTAATTTTGTATGGCTATATTAATACTCTCTGGTTAATTTCTGACAAAGGGTGCCATTTTCAGTATGTTAAGTTGAGTTTGGTTCTGTATCACTATGTTAATATTCTCTGGTTAATTTCAGACAAAGGGTGCCATTTTCAGTGTATTAACACACTTGCAATTTTCTTGCCACAATATTTAATCATGTCTGTATACTGTGTTTAGTGTGTTTATATGTTACTCTAGCCGGTGAAGTCAGAGGCTCCCCTGGGAGGAGATACCACATGGAAGGTGATGACATATGAGCGTACACCTGTGATGTCTACCTATCTACTTGCATTTGTAGTAGGAGAGTATGATTTTGTAGAGGCAAAAGATGCTGATGGAGTCCTTGTCCGAGTCTACACACCAGTTGGCAAGAAGGAACAGGGCCGATTCGCTCTAGATGTACGTATTGCTGTCTGTATCTTTTAGACAATATTCTTAGACCAATAATAATGATTCTGAATCTGATTGTTTGTATGTCAACAAGGCAAAATCATATGCTTAGATAAATTAGCCACATCAATGGATGCTACATAAAAAGCCTGATCTTAAAAAACTAGTCATTTTAAACATTTAGAACACTATAGATTATATTTCATATTTTCATAATGAAATGTTAATTGATATGTGAACATTGAATGTTTTATTGGTTGATAATATAATTACTAATAAAGTTTATTTATTTTACAACAATTGCGAAGCAAGTTTTCCCAACTTATATAAATCACTCTTGTTGGCTCGGATGGAAGCGCACGAGGGGTCTTATTGTGGGATGGGGTACCTGGGGAAAACCCACGTGGTCAGGCAGGTGACCCCATACCTTTTCACATCCATTCTGGGAATCGAACCCCGAATGGCTAGGTGAAAGACGATTGCGTTACCATATGAAATGCTTTGTAAGCATCAATAAGACCAATTTTAATTAGTAATGAATTAAATCCATACTCAGATGATAGGTCTAAATCCACACTCTGCATACTAATATGCAAACACTAACATTTGCTTATACACATGAAAATGAACATGCGCTCATGGCTTCTGTTTCATTGCGATATACGACATGAAGGAAATAAGATGAAGCCTATCAGTTACTTAACAGTAGAACATGTAAGTCTTTCAAAAGATAATCATATTAAAAATCACATCTTTCAATGTTCTGAACAGGCCACTGTCTTTGCTAGTTGAGATCAAGTTTTCAAACACTTCATTCTGATTTCACATGATATTGACTTATATGGTTTGAATTAATATATACAACAATTATCTTACTTATCATCACTCATAAGTAAATCTCATTTTTGAGTACCGGATAATCCCGACAACCAATGATAGCTTGAAAATCTTATAGCTACGTATGTGTACACACCCCTCTTTGTGCATTTATTTTCTCAAAAAAAAAACACTGCACACATTACATGGGTTAACGTAACTACTTTAACTGCAAAATATTTTATATTGAATACACATAACCATATAAAAAGTAATAGGAACACTAGGACACCTTATCCTATTCCCACAAAAAGACGATCCACATCTGGTGTGCCTTAATTACTAATATACCATGACTTCCCAAATGCATGCATTATTTTCCATTCAAACTAGTGTCAATTTCCAACTATCACCAAGTTGCGTAATTGCCAATACATTTGTAATCAATAATCATTATTACAAATATGCCTTGGCTATCACAGCTTGATAGAGGACCGGCTCTCGCAATGCTAATGGGAGGTAGCTCTCAGCATTAGGTCACTACTCACTTTGGAGTTCACAAATCAATTATAAGTTGGTTGGTTTTACATTTCAACACCACAGAAAGAGTTGCTGACAGACGGAGATCTGGACATCCATGTGTAACATCGCAACATCAAGATTGGTTCATTAGACTTACTTGCGTTACAGGAGATTAATGGCAGCCAAACAGGCACGAAATAACATTGGTAATGGAAACTGTGAAATCCACCCAAAAACTGAGAATATACTGCAACAGGCAAATATAGGCCCAGGTGGCCAGTACATTGGTCTGCCACTGACCCCTCACCATTGAGCACATTGTATACAATGGTTGACAGTAGACATATCCCTATGAGACTTTGGAGGTCCATGATCTTCACAGATGAATCTTAATTCACGTTATTTCAATCAGATGACCATCAACGTGTGTTCCAGTGTCAAGGAGAACGTCTAGCAGATGCTTGTGTTTTGGAGCATGACAGATTTGGGGGTGGATCAGATACGGATTGTTAAGGAAGTCCCATAGTTTAAAGACACCTTACAGATTATTAATTGGAATTTAAAGACTGTATGCTACTGAGGCCTCATGTTTGTTTTGCCTTTCATTATAAGGTAGCATTTGACCTTCCAGCATGATAACGCTAGGTCACACTTTACAAGAGTTTGAAAGGACTTTTTTTGTAACCCAGAATATTGTCCATATTGATTGGCCTCCATATAGCCCCGATTTGTCTGCAATTGAATACTAGTGAGATGAATCTAAAAGAGAGAAAAATTTGGAATCAAGCAAGCATCCCAAATAACCTCCACTAATTGGCTATCGCACTTATCGAGGAATGGAATAACTTTTCTCTACAGAACTCCATGCCAGATCGAACTATGAGATGCTGTAGCCATTCCAGAAGTGCACACACAATATAAGGGAATGGTCTGACAACTGCCATTATCTCAGCTTTGTGTACATTGTTGCATAATCAAATCCGACTCGTGGTATTTTGGTTGGGCTCTTTATTCATATAGTGGTTACATGAGTTACCAAAGTTTACACTTTGTCCTCCCCAACATTGTTTCAGTTACACTTGGTTCTCCCCAACATTGTTTCAGTTACACTTGGTTCTCCCCAACATTTTTTCAGTTACACTTGGTCCTCCCCAACATTGTTTCAGGTACACTTGGTCCTCCCCAACATTGTTTCAGGTACTTTTTCCTCTACAACATTGTTTCAGGTACACTTGGTCCTCCCCAACATTGTTTCAGGTACACTTGGTCCTCCCCAACATTGTTACAGGTACACTTTGTCCTCCCCAACATTGTTTCAGGTACACTTGGTCCTCCCCAACATTGTTTCAGGTACTTTTTCCTCTACAACATTGTTTCAGGTACACTTGGTCCTCCCCAACATTGTTTCAGGTACACTTGGTCCTCCCCAACATTGTTTCAGGTACTTTTTCCTCTACAACATTGTTTCAGGTACTTTTTCCTCTACAACATTGTTTCAGTTACACTTGGTCCTCCCCAACATTGTTTCAGGTACACTTGGTCCTCCCCAACATTGTTTCAGGTACTTTTTCCTCTACAACATTGTTTCAGGTACACTTGGTCCTCCCCAACATTGTTTCAGGTACACTTGGTCCTCCCCAACATTGTTTCAGGTACTTTTTCCTCTACAACATTGTTTCAGGTACACTTGGTCCTCCCCAACATTGTTTCAGGTACACTTGGTCCTCCCCAACATTGTTTCAGGTACTTTTTCCTCTACAACATTGTTTCAGGTACACTTGGTCCTCCCCAACATTGTTTCAGGTACTTTTGTTTCAGGTCCTCTACAACATTGTTTCAGGTACACTTGGTCCTCCCCAACATTGTTTCAGGTACTTTTTCCTCTACAACATTGTTTCAGGTACACTTGGTCCTCCCCAACATTGTTTCAGGTACTTTTTCCTCTACAACATTGTTTCAGGTACACTTGGTCCTCCCCAACATTGTTTCAGGTACTTTTTTGTTTCAGGTACTCCTCTACAACATTGTTTCAGGTACACTTGGTCCTCCCCATTGTTTCAGGTACTTTTTCCTCATTGTTTCAGGTACACTTGGTCCTCCCCAACATTGTTTCAGGTACACTTTTCCTCTACAACATTGTTTCAGGTACCTTGGTCCTCCAACATTGTTTCAGGTACACTTGGTCCTCCCCAACATTGTTTCAGGTACTTTTTCCTCTACAACATTGTTTCAGGTACACTTGGTCCTCCCCAACATTGTTTCAGGTACTTTTTCCTCTACAACATTGTTTCAGGTACACTTGGTCCTCCCCAACATTGTTTCAGGTACTTTTTCCTCTACAACATTGTTTCAGGTACACTTAGTCCTCCCCAACATTGTTTCAGGTACACTTGGTCCTCACCAACATTGTTTCAGGTACTTTTTCCTCTACAACATTGTTTCAGGTACACTTGGTCCTCGCCAACATTGTTTCAGGTACTTTTTCCTCTACAACATTGTTTCAGGTACACTTGGTCCTCCCCAACATTGTTTCAGGTACTTTTTCCTCTACAACATTGTTTCAGGTACACTTACAACATTGTCCTCCCCAACATTGTTTCAGGTACACTTGGTCCTCCCCAACATTGTTTCAGGTACTTTTTCCTCTACAACATTGTTTCAGGTACACTTGGTCCTCCCCAACATTGTTTCAGGTACTTTTTCCTCTACAACATTGTTTCAGGTACACTTGGTCCACCCCAACAGTGTGTCAGGTACTGTTTCCTCTACAACAGTGTTTCAGGTACACTTGGTCCTCCCAACATTGTTTCAGGTACTTTTTCCTCTACAACATTGTTTCAGGTACACTTGGTCCTCTACAACATTGTTTCAGGTACTTTTTCCTCTACAACATTGTTTCAGGTACACTTTTACTTTTTCCTCTACAACATTGTTTCAACATTGTTTCAGGTACACTTGTTTCAGTCCTCCTCCAACATTGTTTCAGGTACTTTTTCCTCTACAACATTGTTTCAGGTACACTTGGTCCTCGCCAACATTGTTTCAGGTACTTTTTCCTCTACAACATTGTTTCAGGTACACTTGGTCCTCCCCAACATTGTTTCAGGTACTTTTTCCTCTACAACATTGTTTCAGGTACACTTGGTCCTCCCCAACATTGTTTCAGGTACACTTTCCTCCCAACATTGTTTCAGGTACTTTTTCCTCTACAACATTGTTTCAGGTACACTTGGTCCTCCCAACATTGTTTCAGGTACTTTTTCCTCTACAACATTGTTTCAGGTACACTTGGTCCTCCCCAACATTGTTTCAGGTACTTTTTCCTCTACAACATTGTTTCAGGTACACTTGGTCCTCCCCAACATTGTTTCAGGTACACTTGGTCCTCCCCAACATTGTTTCAGGTACTTTTTCCTCTACAACATTGTTTCAGGTACACTTGGTCCTCCCCAACATTGTTTCAGGTACTTTTTCCTCTACAACATTGTTTCAGGTACACTTGGTCCTCCCCAACATTGTTTCAGGTACTTTTTCCTCTACAACATTGTTTCAGGTACACTTGGTCCTCCCCAACATTGTTTCAGGTACACTTGGTCCTCCCCAACATTGTTTCAGGTACTTTTTCCTCTACAACATTGTTTCAGGTACACTTGGTCCTCCCCAACATTGTTTCAGGTACTTTTTCCTCTACAACATTGTTTCAGGTACACTTGGTCCTCCCCAACATTGTTTCAGGTACACTTTGTCCTCTCCATCATTGTACTCCCATAAGTCCCTGCTCACCTAGGCTACTGCTTGCTCTGCCTTCCATCTCTCCTCTCTAACTCTAGTCTCCAACTCCCCTCAATTCCAACTTCCCAACTGACTCCCGTCAAAGTGTTAAAAACTACAGAAGTACTTAAAGCCTATTACAGCCTGATTGGATAACAAAACCCAAACCCTTTGTGCATCTCATTATTAAGGCATGTGTGCTCCAGTACCTTATCTCACCTGGCTCAAGGGATCTAGATGTACTTTAATCGCCGCAGCTGATGGACAGCATGCATACTACCTATCTACTCCAAACAGTGATCCTCTCACTGGCTATCTAGTCATGGTTGCTTCATGAGGCACACCCTGGGTGATATCATCAGTGTTAGCATACTACCTGTCCATCACTGGTCGTTAACCCTGGTCCAGTATAAGATGACCTTTGACACCTGTTAACATTGCTCCCTAAGGTACCTATTGTACTTTAATTTTTTATCAATATTGTACTTTTACTACTCATTTTGTTACAACATTAGAGTACCCTTATTCATGATGGTGAAATAAATTTCTTTCTCATTTGTTAAAAAAACCTCAGTAAATCTGAAGACAGGTGGTCCTATATTCGAAGATAATATTGCATTTCACATTGAGGCATATTGCTCATAAATATTTATTAAATCGTACAGTTGAAATTATGTTATTTAGGCTTAGCTTATATCCGTCGCCCCCTTTGATTAATTTTGTTAAATTTCGATTTTTTTTACTTGAGAAGTACTTGATTGATCTTTTTTAAAATTTGATATGCAGGTATCTCTTGGTCCATAGTTGTGCCTGTTTATTTTTAGGACTGATCATGGCTGACAGGTGGTCATCTTCGATTTTGTTGTTAAAAGATTGTTATCACAATTTCTGAAGAGAAAATTTTTATTTTGAAATTTTGAAATCAATTGAATTTTTTTTCAATTAATTAAGAGCAAAAACTGAAGAAAGAAGAGAATAGAAGGAAAAGATTAAATTTTAAATAAAAATTAAAAAACCAAGCCATGGTGGGGGCCAAGATCCCTCTGGGATTTCTTTTAAAATGAAGATAATCCTTTTGATTTAAAATTGAAGGTAAATAGTTTGTTGTTAATAATTACATACAGAAAGTGTTGACACAGCTTATTTATCATTATAGGTGGCTGTGAAGACCCTGCCATTTTACAAGCAATACTTCCAGATAGCCTATCCTCTACCAAAAATGGACCTTATAGCAATAGCAGACTTTGCTGCAGGTTAGTAATTATCATCATAGACAAGTTGGGTGAAAAGGGGCATTTATTTACAGATACATCTTTGAATAAGATTTTTTGTTTGTTGGGTTTTCCCTGTGAATAGCGATGGTCATTTTAAGGTTGGGTATTCATGTATTAGCTGGTAACTACCTCAAAGAACAACATACAGGAGGCCCGTTGTATGCTGTTCAGAGCAATTAGGGTAAAGTGGCCTGCCCAAGGACACAATCATGACAGTTCAGGTAAGGAGTGTTGAACCATGCTGCTCAGATCTTCACCTGAGGTTATGAAGGCTGTAATCGACCGAGCTATCACATCCCATTCCATGAAAAGAAGGAAGAGAGCAAAGTAATTACTGATAATAATTCAATACTAAAATGTGACAGTCATATGGATAATTACAACATGTATATTGATTTGATGGTCAGTTCTTGGTTTTTCCTCTCAAATTTCATTGACTTTGTACACCTAACTGAAATTACCATTTTAATTTTAAGTGTTTTCTTGAGACCGCCAATACCTGTCCCACAGCATACATATGTGTAATATAACTGGATCCAATGTACATCTGAGGTGTAGTGTACAGATGTTTCAGGTCTAACTTTTGTCTTTTCCAAGGTGCTATGGAGAACTGGGGACTTGTGACATACAGGGAGACAGCTTTGCTTATTGATCCTACCACTTCATCAGCGAAAACTCGTCAGTGGGTGGCCCTGGTGGTGGGGCATGAGCTGGCACATCAGTGGTTTGGAAACCTTGTGACAATGGTATGTAATTAAATTCCTATACGTTACAGTTTTGTTTTCTTAAAGCTGATTTGATTTGATTTGAATATTAAACAGTGTTTTCTGACAACTTGAGCTGTTGAATTTAATTTCTGCACATCTTTAATTTACTTGCATATATACTGTACACGGGGAAACATTTGTCTGTGGTTTCATTTGCTCACTCTTTTTAGCTCTCCTGGCCCAAAGGGTTAAGGGTCCATTGTCCATCTATCGTCTGTTAACTTTTCCACTAAATCATTATTAGTCATGAATGACTGAGTGGATTTTGATCAAATTTGGTCAGAACCATCCTTGGGAAAAGAATGTGTTGCCCCCTCTAGGGTGGGAAGGGTGGTGTCCAAGAGTGGATATATAGCAAATTCTTTAAAAAATTTCTTTCCCTGTAAGAATACTAGTAAGTTGTTCCAATGTTAGAGTGCCTGGATTTCAGCCCAGCTTGGTCTGAGGCATGCATGGATGAAGGGGATCACTTTGTATGAACATTGGGTTTCAACCCTTGGGGATGGTAGTGGGAGGGCTCAATAGTTGAAATGGAGCAAATTCTTTGAAACCTTTCTTCTGTAATGATTAAATTTTGTCTGGATTTAACCTGATCTTTGATGAAGAGAACTAAGTTTTATACAAACAGTACATCTAACCCCCTTCGGGAGGAGGGTTAGGGCCTTACAGGGGAAGTAGTAGATACATGTGTTTTAGATACTTTTCCTTTAGTTTAAACTAATCAGTTTCAGCAAACTAAATGAGATGAATGATACAGACCATATGGACCTCTTGTCTTCATTGTGAAGTTCACTCTAAATTACATTGAAATACATATTTCAGCTTTACTATCAAACATAAGTTCAGCTTGAATTTTTCACCATATTATCTAAAGGGTTTCCAGCTAGAATTATTACAGTGAATGTTTTTCTGTTAACAGTATAAAGCTGTTTTTTATTGGTTGACCAAATTTGTTTAGAAGTAAAACATTAAAAAGTTAATGCATATTTAGCATTTAAAAACTACTGTTGATGGCTACATTAAAACTGAAAATGAAAATGTCAAAACCAAACTAGATAATAAGTCTAAAATCAGTTGTTATTAATTTATTACAGTGCATGCCAATATTTTCACTGATAAATAATGATCTGATTGATTTCCATTTTACAGAGGATGTTTCTTATGATATATTTTGATTTTAACAAAAACTGTATATCGGATGCATACAACAGTTTTATTACTGGCATTAGAATGTAAAGTGGAAAAAGTAAAAGCATTTTGGACTGTAATTTTTATGGACTTTCATTGTATTGTTGTATCATATGAAAACTCCTACAGGAATGGTGGACTCATCTCTGGCTGAACGAGGGCTTTGCTTCCTGGATTGAATATCTGTGTGTAGACCATTGTTTCCCAGAGTTTGACATTTGGACACAGTTTGTAAATCAGGACTTGGGTCGTGCACTGGAACTGGATGCCCTTCATAACAGTCATCCCATAGAGGTGAGATTTAACATGAAACATTAACTCCATAGAGGTAAGATTTAATTCCAAATTAGATTGCGAAAAGCAATCCTCAGTTCTGTTGTCAAGATATCGTATGGATTTTTAGAAAAGACCTGGGAGGAAAGTGTCAGAGTATAGTGAGACATATGTAACGAAATAGATATGTTAATCATGTGCTTCTTATTACACTGTATATATAACAAAATCATAGTTCGACATACGTCACTGAATTACAGAATAGGTGTAACTGATTCTCAGGTGGGATAGTGATAGTACAGTGAGTTTGAGTGTTGGCCTAGGTAACCACAGATAAAGATTGAAGGTGTGTTGTTTGACACTCTGTGGCAATTAGTATTTCTCAGAAAGCTGGGAACAAGCAGGTGCATGCTGACAAGAGTGTGTACTTGAACAAGACACTTTACGCTTATATCTCTGGATTACATGTGATGGGTCTTCTACATGTGGTGCAGTGTGGCAGCTAATAACTTCTTCAAGAAGACCTTACCTCAAAATAATGGAGTGATGAACCTAACAAACAAACAAACCTCAACAGCTCATCCATTGAAATGCTGTCTTTTACACTAGTAATAATAGTAATAAGGAGATTTCATAGTTGGAAAATTTTCGATAAAGCTATGAAATCGATCAAATGTGAAGGGGTCTTGTTAGGAAATGAATAATATAGATTTGTGAGTTATCCAATGAATTCTTTTATGGAACCATCTGTCTCGACTAACATTATGCTCTCTGTGTGCTAACTCCTTCCTATCACCTCTCTACTTCTTTTATGAAGATGGCATCTAAGAAAAAAATGCTACATCTTTAATGATCCACAAGTATATATCCTGGAATATTTTTTCTACCTGTTTAACTTTAATGTTTATTGGTAGGTGCCAGTCGGCCACCCTGATGAAGTTGATGAGATATTTGATGCTATTTCCTACAGTAAGGGAGCATCTGTCATTAGGATGTTGCACGACTACATAGGTGATGAGGTATATAAAAATCTTTTTTGTTGTAATGTTTTCTTATTGCTTTTTATTTACCATTGTTTGGAACTCCTTCAATGTTACATTGCTAAAATTTGAACGGATATTACCAGTTAATGAACTGTCAACAGCGTACAAATATTGCAAGTCATCTAGACAGATTAAGATTTCCTACCCTATTAACAAGGTGAAAATTAAAAATGAGAAATGCAAGCATTTTACTGCCTTTGGTTGGCATTCAGGGGCAAATAAATTCCAACAGAAAAAGGACAATTTCAACATGAAACGCTGACCTCTTTATTTCATTTTCCTGTATCCTGTTGGCATTCATATGTCCATGAATGCCACTGAAAGCAGTTGAATATTTAAATATAGCAGAAAGACAACTGTGTTGGAAAATGAATTCACAAAAAAATTTGATATGTAGATTCCTAAATGTTTGGACATGGTAGCAAGTTGTTAAGTTAAGAATATTTGAGAAGATTTCATATATAATGTAATTAGGAATATGTGGGTTGGCCAAGTTACGACATCCACAGTTGAATGAGTCTGATTACAATGTGTTGGTAGGTTTAATTTTTTTTTACCTGACTTATGTTTGACTCACCAATGTGTGGAGCATTTGAACTTATTTTGGGGTATTCAATAAAGCAGAAGTTGCTTACCCTTTGGAACACATTATCTTATCCTCAGTATTCTTCAAGGGTCACTTTGTTAATGTTTCATCAGTCTGAGTTTTTATCAGGAGTTTGTCATTGTTTCATTAAGTTCTCGCTCATGCTTCTGTGCTGTAACTTGCGTCCTTATTTAAGGAGAGTTTCAAATTAACAAAATATTGAGACATCCTTACATATATATTTTTTTAAATAATTCACCTCATATCAGACTGGAGAAGCAAAGTGGTCTATATTAAGCTGATATCATTAAGTATAAATGAGATTACTCATTTTTGAAATTTATAAGGTTTTTATGGCTTAAATCATTCCTTTCATTTGTAACATATTTACCCTGTAACCTATAAAAGATATCTGTAAAGTGTATTAAGCTTACATAAAATTCTTTCTTCAAACATCTTAGACCATTTTTGTAGGGTTTAAAGTGTAGCATTCTGTAATATATAGAGGATATTTAATAGTGTCTTCAGTTATAACAAGTATACTTTACAAGTTTGTCTAATATTTTAGTATCTTTCACAAGTGTTCAGCTTGATCTTGACCCATATTCAATGTCACAGGGGTTAATTGTGTAGAAATTTTTTTAAACAACTTCTTTTCAGTAAGGGAAAGGCCAAGGGTAATGAAATTGATCCTTAAGCATACTGGGAAAAGGGACTACAATATTATTCAATTGAACCACCTTGACCCACTTTCAAGGTCACAGGAGTCAAATGTGTTAAAATCTTTAAAGAATTTCTTCTCAATAACCAAAAGTTCCAGGGTACTGATATTTGGCCTGTAGATTGCTGGGATGAAGGGTTACAAAGTTTGTTCAAATGCAATGACCTTGACCCTCTTTCAAGGTCACATGGGTCAGATGTATGAAAATCTGCTAACAACTTCCTCTCAATAATTGAAAGTCCCAGGGTACTAATATTGGACCAGCAGAATGCTCAGATGAAGTGCTACCAAGTTTGTTTAAATGAATGACCTTGACCCGCTTTCATGGTCACAGGGGTCAAATGTGTTAAAAAATCTTCAAACAACTTCTCAGTAAGACAGAAGCCAACAGTAATGATCTTGAGCTTTTAACATACTTAGATATTGTTCACCAATGACATGCTGATATGATGGCTTCCAAGTTTGTTCAACTGCACAACCTTGTGAACAGGTGAGCAATGCAGGCCAGTTGGGAACTTAAACATTTCATCATTTTTGTACATTTTTACTACATTGTGTCGTATTTTGCAGAAACTTACATACCGTATTTATTCCAATAAACGCCCGTCTCTAATAAACGCCCCCCCACCTGTTTTCTCAGTAAATTTCAACAACTCAGGAGTCAGGTTACAAAGCTTACCTTTTAATAAATTTTAAATTCCTGGTATCCATGAACATAACCAAATAAATTTTGGCACAAGAAAATTACACTGTCATGACATGTACACAAGTAATATCAATTTAATCCACAGTTCATTTCAATATACTGCAGGCCTAATGGCCGGGATTGCCGTACGAACTACTGTCTTCACTTTCACTTTCACTTTCGCCAGTCTCGCTTTCACTCAGTTCTATTTGTGGAATAGAAGGCGCGTTCACATCACCCATTAAATTTTACAAAACATCATCTGCAGCTTGGACATCCTTTTCACTAAACCCCTGGAATTCCTCATCGTCAGAATCATGCTTGAAAATATGATCCTCGCTACCGTCCAGCAAATTTGTGATACTGCATTTTTTTAACGATCTTCTGATTGTGTCCGGGCTAATGCTATCCCATGCTGTCTTGACCCAAGACAACATTGCAGCTTTTGATGGGGCTTTATGATTCCCTGCTTTGGTTTTCTCAATGGGGCCACTGAAACACCATTCGTCATACAACTCTCCAAGTTTTTGTTTGAAGGGTTTATTCCACGACACATCAGCTGACTGTTGCTTACATGTACATCCTCCAGGTATAACACAGACGTCTGAATTATATTTTTGACGAACCAGTTTTTTTACATCTTCAGTAAGATGACCACGGAAAGCGTCCCATACTAATAACCGCCTAGCTGTATCATCCACACCCCAAAGTTTTTTTAATCTAAATTTTTTTGCCCAGGATTTTTGTCCGGCCCCGCACATGTATACCACAATACCACTTGGTATGCCATCTTTCGGAAGGGGACGAATGCCTGGCATGTGCACAAATGGGGCGATTTTAGTCCCATCGGCATATGCTGCCAGTGTCACCGTTATTTTTTTATTTTTCGTGGCCAGTACTGTAAACTCTGACCTCCTTTTCCCCCTTTATTGCCAATGTCGATTTTCCTGGCATGTCAAACCACACCGGGGTTTCGTCCATGTTAGTGATATAGCTATCGGGGTATTCTCGTAGCCGACGCATTCTTAACACGAAATTAAAAAAAATTGTCAATACAATCATCAATTAATGAAACTTCATGTTGTGCCACATGCGTAGATCGCGTGAATGAAATGTTATGTCTCTTTTTGAAATTAGAAAACCATCCATATGAGGCTTTGAATGATTGACTATCATTTGCCTTATGCATACGCAGGGCCTCAAACCGCAATGCTTTCCCAGTCACTCGTATTCCGGCCTCCTGTCTGTCCTGTAGCCATCTCATCAGATTTTTGTCAATATCTTCATATCTGACATGCCTCCCACCTCCTTTACAGCGTTTAGATGTTTTAGAAAGATTTAAAAATTTTTCTTTGTGTTGACACCAGTCCTCGCTCGTTTTCTGTCAACACGAAACACTTTCGCGGCAGCATGTTTACCCTTCTCCTCTGCGAAGGCGATTACTTTAAGCTTGAAAGCAGTGTCGTAATTTTGTTTTGTCCCAGACATTGTTATCAGGTATGTGGGATTTATTAAGAAACAGACTGGCTTATATACCGCTGTGTTTTTTTATTTTGTTATGCAAACTAGGCCTACAAGCAATGATGAACATTGTACGTTTTTGACTGAAGCTGACACGATTGACATCGTATCATTTCATACAAGAATTCAGGTTATCAGAATGCAATTGACAACAATGTTTAAAGCTACAACGATGCAATTTTCAAATGCATTCTTTGCTGAGTAATTTGTTAGTTTGTTAACAATGTTTTTAAGTGGCAGCCATGGCATGTCACAACCAACAAATAATGAAATTTTGTGTTCTATTAATCGCCCCCTGTCTGAAAAATTTCACGCCCCCAGGGCGTTTATTGGAATAAATACGGTATTGTATCTTTTTAGCAGGAACTTATACATTGTATCATTTATTGTTGTAACTTATACATTGTATCATTTATTGTTGTAACTTGTACATTGTATCATTTGTATCATTTATTGTTGTAACTTATACATTGTATCATTTATTGTTGTAACTTATACATTGTATCATTTATTGTTGTAACTTATACATTGTATCATTTATTGTTGTAACTTATACATTGTATCATTTATTGTTGTAACTTATACATTGTATCATTTATTGTTGTAACTTGTACATTGTATCATTTATTGTTGTAACTTATACATTGTATCATTTATTGTTGTAACTTATACATTGTATCATTTATTGTTGTAACTTGTACATTGTATCATTTATTGTTGTAACTTGTACATTGTATCATTTATTGTTGTAACTTATACATTGTATCATTTATTGTTGTAACTTGTACATTGTATCATTTGTATCATTTATTGTTGTAACTTATACATTGTATCATTTATTGTTGTTGTAACTTGTACATTGTATCATTTGTATCATTTATTGTTGTAACTTATACATTGTATCATTTGTAACTTATACATTGTATCATTTATTGTTGTAACTTGTACATTGTATCATTTGTATCATTTATTGTTGTAACTTATACATTGTATCATTTATTGTTGTAACTTGTACATTGTATCATTTATTGTTGTAACTTATACATTGTATCATTTATTGTTGTAACTTGTACATTGCATCATTTATTGTTGTAACTTATACATTGCATCATTTATTGTTGTAACTTATACATTGCATCATTTATTGTTGTAACTTATACATTGCATCATTTATTGCAGGATTTTCGCAAGGGGATGAATCAGTACCTGAACAAATTTCAGTACAGTAATGCCTTCACTGAGGATCTGTGGGATGCTCTGGGAACTGCCAGTGGTAAACCTGTCCAGAATGTCATGTCTACATGGACACAACAGATGGGCTTCCCTGTGATTAAGGTAAAACTTTGTTTGGTATCCTGTAGATAATTTTGGATGGATGCAGCAGCACTACTCCTTTGTAGAAAAGTAAGAAATATCTATTATTCAAGAGAAATAAAAGCATAGATAACAAGTAAAGCTATCAAACAGAAAATAAGTCTTTTTCTTCGTAAACACAATGTTTAATATATACATTTTGATTTGCGCTGAAAAGGTGGTGGAAGTTAAGAAATATCTTACACTTTTATCTGTTTTATGTTTATACATGTTTACCTGACATAAAAGACAAAACTTGACATGAGACAAATGACGGACAGTTTATATGTTTGTATCCAGTGAATTAGGACATGAGAAAACGTCAGAATCAAAACTTACATGTGAAATACACTATGTAGAAAATGTAGAGTTTAACCCTAAAGATAGTAGATTCTTGATTCAACCGTGAGATGCATTTAATGAATTTTCGTATGATAACAGTTCTCTGCCACAAAGAATAGCTTCAACAATACAATAACGACATATTCTAGAACTAACACTTAATGAAGCCATGTCTTGACACTAACCTGTTAAATAATCGTCTTGAAATGCAGCACGTCAAAAGCGCACATGGGTGCCACCATTTTTGTAACACTTGCTGGGGTGAGACTAAAAAGTACATCAAGTGGCTGGGTGAAACATGTGGTATGGAAAGAGTTAATACTGTATTATCTTAAACAGGTGGAGGAGAAGCAGGAAGGAGACAGCCGTGTCGTTACTCTTACTCAGGAGAAGTTCTGTGCAGATGGTCAACTTCCAGAAAGTAAGAGTTCTAGTGTCTCTGATTGACTCCTTTATACATCAGTCCAGTTTAACTTGCTTGGTGCCCCCCTGTCAGATACAGATGTTTGATGTACTTGAAGTTTGATTGTAGTTTAAATTAAATTTTTACTATTGATTTCAGTCATAATCAAAATATTGTGTATTTTCCTTTTTTGCTTTTTACTGTGGAGACCAAGTGTTTAAGATGTCTGACTGTCTTAATTACTAACTGTCCACTTCTGGTTGTTAATAGGACATAAAGCACCCATAAATTATAATACACATACATAAATTTTAGCACATATTTCTGGGATTATACCTAATATCATTAAGTAGATGAGATAGATGATGAGATTGATATTATACTTAGCTTCCTAGATCACTAAATAATATGATTGCTGATGGATCATTTCTTTCCGGTTTAAAAGATTTAAACATACTATTTTTTCCTTACCAAAAACAGCTATTTCCCAGAAAGGAGGCAAAAGTTTTTCTAAAGAGATATGAATGTCTTCCCATTTTTAAGAAAGAGAACTTTATTTTCTCCATTGATATTGGTGTAGACTGCTGTAAAATTCAGGGGGGAAAAAGGACATACAATGTGTATATTTATTTGTAGATTGTAAATCCAAGTGGTTGACACCAATAACAATGTGTAGCAGCAGCAGCCCCAATTCACCTGTCAAACGCATCCTCATGGAAGACAAGACAACAACGGTAACTGTGGAGAATGTCAAGACTGGAGACTGGGTCAAGGTCAGCAGAAGTCATTTCTTGTTACACACCATGTGAACATGATATCTACCCATAAGTAGGCTGGGAAATTTACTCACATTGAAATTTAGACTGTATATTTATCTCTTTCTTTCATTTAGGTTGAGCAAATTATTCTCTAACAAATACTGAGTACCAAACAGATAAGGATAATTAACCTCATCCGTTTGAAGCATTTCGTTGAAATAATGAAATACTCTTAAATCAGCAGATTTATGAGAGGTTGCTTATACTGACGATGAAATGGTCGTCTCCGATTCTACTTTTGATTTCAGAGTCGTTGATGACAAGAAAAACATAAGATATACATGTATTTTCAATGTCAAAATAAAACAAAAACACATATTACTGTAGTAACAAGGTTACGATGAGTGATAATTAACTCACAAACAGGTGACATGGTGAGCAGATAATCAGTCGTATTTCCCATCAATTTACTGAGCAATTGCAAAGTATTTTCATGTGGATATCAAATAGAAAACATTAAAACTTGTTTCATACAATAGATTGCAGCAAATAGATTTCAACATACCAATATTATAAACACCACACATTGGTAAATCATCTTTTATCCATGACAACACTAACAGTCATATGCTCAGAAAAAGGCATGAACCAAGGACCAACCTGGAAGCCACTTCTAGTAGCAACCATTAAATTTTTTTTTTTTTGTAACTTTTTATTTTTTTACTTCAAACATGATACATTGCAAGACAATAAACATACCACACTTTCTCATTTATATTTTATATCCCATTCAGCTTTTCTTCTTTCAGTCACTCATCATACACCTACATTCATACATCACCTTCACTTCATCTATACAACACTCCCAACTGGTATATTAATTATATAAGATATATTCATTCATCCTTCACCTATACTACATTCACTCATATTTCACCTGCACCTCATTTATATAACAAAAACACTCATAAAAGATTGATTCACTTATATTTCATACACTACATTTTCACTAATTCTTCATATATATATATCATACACCTATACAAACTCCCCTGAAGGATGTGTTCACTCATTTTTCCACTATGTATACATATTCACTCATTCTTTACCTATACTACACCTATACAAACATTCTTACATGTTATTATCACTCATACTTCACCCACTCAAAAAACACAGAACAAATACACATAACTACATAAAAGGAATAGATCTCAGAAGGAGAAAGAGAGGGAGAGAGAAAGAGAGAGAGAGAGAAATTAAGAGGGAGCTGTCTGGGAATGTATAACCACATCCTAGAAACACAAATTTATGATGCTAAGTTATCTCAATTAACTTTTCCCATTTCCTCCATACTTTTTTAAACTCATCCAGTACCAGATTCCCTTTTCCAGTAGCTATGAATTTCTGGACACAATATGTTTCCTTAATTAGATTCTTGAGACCATGAATAGATAATTCCGTTTTTAAACATCTAGAGCTATAGATGTACTGTTTCATTATCAATATTATTGTGTTGTCCACTACAAAATTGATATTGTTCCTATTCAATATTCCAAATAAAAAGGATTCTTTATTATATGCAAAAGGTATTGAAAGACTGTCCACAAGATATTCAAAATTCTGTAAAAATCTTTGTACTTTTTCACATTCCCATAGGGCATGAATAATTGTTTCTGGCAACCACTAAATTTTGATTGACTGCAGAAGAGTTCATTTTGATGTGTTTTATTGTATCACCGACTTGCTGTATATGTTGTATTACCTGACCAGTACTTACCTGTATTTTCCAGCTGAACAGTGGTACAGTGGGAGTTTATCGTGTACAGTACTCTCCAACCACTTTGGAGACATTGATCCCTGCAGTGCAAGACCGTAGCCTCCCACCTAGAGATAGACTGGGACTACAAAGTGACCTGTTTGCTTTGGTAAGTATACAGAAGACTATGTTCTATCACTACAAAAAATACATTTATAGAAATCTCTGGTTTTATACTGTGTAACATTAGGTTTAGTAGCAAGGAATGGAAGCATTATATTTTACCCTCCTGCTCCTAGTTTATGTAGAAGAAAAAAATGGATGCATTTCTATGTCTAACTCATGAGGATGAAAGAAAGATTCACACAGGTACCATTAAAAGTACAAAATGATAAGACCACATGAAGGGGAAGCAACTCCTGTGTGGCTTACATCCTTTTATGGTTAACTATAGAGAAGATTAAAGTAATGTTACAATTTCATTCAACTGTCAGAGCTTATTTATGTATGTTATGTTCAGCCAAAGCATAATATTATTAATTTTACGTTGTGAACTTGTATTAGGCTAGAGCAGGCATGCTGTCATCAGTTGATGCTCTGAAGGTGGCCAGTGCCTTTGTGAATGAAGACAACTATACTGTGTGGAGTGATCTGTGCATGAGTCTAGGTGGTCAGGGCCTGCTGCTGCAGTACACTGATGCTGAGCAGGCATACAAGAACTTCTGCCTCAATCTCTTCAAAAATGTGTATCAGACAGTTGGCTGGGAGGCCAAGGATGGAGAAAGTGAGCATTTTTTTCTATTGAAACCAAGATATAATGCTTAAAATATGTTTTGAAATCATTAATTCTTTGTTTAAAATAACACTTCATAAAGCTTCTTAAAATAATTTTATATTTTCAGAATACTTTTAATTCATCTAGTTATAGAAATTTGATTTAAGAAAGAAATTTTTTTCTTTTAGGAATAATTTCAGTTTCACCACTTGAACCTTATTAATTGTGCCATTCATTACAAGTTCCATATATGCTACTGTGTAGACACAGGTCCATTGTCATTTTACAATTCTGCAACTTTTTCAGTGATAGAAGAGTCTGGGTTAAAATTTTGCTATTTTTAATTGTCTTTCACTGAAAACAAAAAATCTGTCGTAATGCTTCTACAGAGCTGTCCACCAAAAAAAAGTCTATTATAATACTTCTGCAGAACAGCCTTTCACTGAAAACAGAAACTCCAGTGTAATGCCTCTGCAGAACAGCCTTTTACTGAAAACAAAAAGTCCTGTGTAATGCATCTGCAGAACAGCCTCTCTGCAGAACAGCCATTCACTAAAAAACAGAAAGACCAGTGTAATGCATCTGCAGAACAGCCTCTCTGCAGAACAGCCATTCACTAAAAAACAGAAAGACCAGTGTAATGCATCTGCAGAACAGCCTCTCTGCAGAACAGCCTTTAACTAAAAAGCAGAAAGACCAGTGTAATGCATCTGCAGAACAGCCTCTCTGCAGAACAGCCATTCACTAAAAAACAGAAAGACCAGTGTAATGCATCTGCAGAACAGCCTCTCTGCAGAACAGCCTTTCACTAAAAAACAGAAAGACCAGTGTAATGCATCTGCAGAACAGCCTCTCTGCAGAACAGCCTTTTACTGAAAACAGAAAGTCCAGTGTAATGCCTCTGCAGAACAGCCTCTCTGCAGAACAGCCTTTCACTGAAAACAAAAAGTCCTGTGTAATGCATCTGCAGAACTGCCTCTCTGCAGAACAGCCTTTCACTGAAAACAAAAAGTCCTGTGTAATGCATCTGCAGAACAGCCTCTCTGCCCTGTGTAATGCCTCTGCAGAACAATGAAAAGTACAAGATCTTGGTGTTTGATGAGATGATAGTTACTGCTATGATTTGTAATAAGTTTGATATAAATGTACTACATTGAAGGCCCTCTGAATGCCATGCTGAGGGACTTGGTGCTGACGAAGATGGGTCGTTGTGGTGACAGTGATGTTGTGGCAGAGGCTAACAAAAGATTTGATGCCCATGTGTCTGGAACCACACCATTATCAGCTAACCTTAGGTCACCGGTAAGTATCACATTGCACAATGAACACCATTGTACATATGAATATATACAGGCAGTTATCTTGGATTTTGACAGTTGAAGTTTGTTATCACTATTTCTTCAGAAAAACTAGATGGGATTTTTGTCAAATTCCCCTTGGTCACTAGTTGTGCCTGTTTGATTTCAGGACTGATCAGAAAAACAAAATAGCTGACAACCAGAAATCATGGATTTGGAAGTTAAAGAATATTTATCATATTTTTAAGAGGAGTTTTGAAATTTCATATGCTTGAAAGCTAGAAAAGAAAGAAGAGAAAATAGGAGGGAAACAATCAAAACTTTAAAGAACAAGTAAAAATCAATTGATCATCTGGGATCTTTTGCTGACATGTTTTTGACTTAAATTTCTCTAATAGTATTCTCCAGCAGCTTTTGTATTTCTGTTTATAAATGTTGGACCTGATAATCCCTCCAGTAATACTGGTATTGAATCAATTAAAAGTAAAAAACAAACTTTAATTTCTTTAATTTGATGTAATCTGGTAGTGCTGTTACACACTAGTAGGATTTAGGTATACTAATCCTATATCCAGGCCAAAATCTTCTTTTACAGGTCTATATCACAGTGCTGTCCAATGGAGATGAAGACACCTATAATAAAATGCTTCAGGTAGGTCTGGTTGATTTTTTTAAAGGTAAACAACACAAGAATGAGTTGTAAATAACTACATCTGCTGTAATCACTGAAGCTGCAAAGGAACATTTGCTTGTAATATGATATTTCTTGGTAACATATATATATAACACTTATCACTGTTTAATTTGAAAAGATTTCCATACAAGGTCATACTTCATATATACCTCTAAATCAAAACTGCACAGCTCTAGACATCAAAGTCAGTCTTATCTTATATGTACTTATATTTCAGACCAAAATTTTAAAATTTTAAAACGAGTTTAAACAAAAATGTAACAGCCATTCTTTACTAAAGAACTTCAGTAATGAAAAGCTTTGACTGTATCCACCTGTATAAATGGCCATGTATTCAGTGAATGACAATGAACTTGCTGGAGTACCTTTCACAACATCAATAAAGCTCACCTGGACTAAGGCCATGTGAGCTTTAGGGATACCAAAGTGTTCGTTGTCTGTTTACTTTTCTTGTTAATCTCTACAAATCAAAAAAATTGTCTTGAAGCATTTGGGGGAATTGATTTTGTATAAACCATGGATCTGAGCCCCCTAGGACCTTAGTAGCTGGGACCAATAATCTATTCTTTTCTTCAGGGATTGCACAATCTTTTCAAAAAAGGGTAAGAAGCATGCTTAGGTGAAGGAAATCAGTTTTGTATAAACAGTGAGTCTTAGTCCCCAGAGGCCAGAGTGGCATGGCCAAGTGGGGAAAATTGATCAACATCTTTAGAATCTATTGTGTTCCTCAGTCATTGCAGAATGTTATACAAATTTTGTTTTGGAGCATGCTTTGGTAAAGGGGATCATTTTTAGCCCACCATCTATTCAAATAGATGGTGGGTTATTCAAATCGCCCTGCGTCCGTGGTCCGTCCGTCCGTCCGTCCGTCCTAGATGGATCTTCCTCAAATTTCATATGCAGTTTCCCCTTGGTCCCTAGTTGTGCATTGTACCTTTTTTGGACTGATTTGAATTCAAGATGGCCGACAGGTGGCCATCTTGGATTTTGGATGTAAAAGTTTGTTACTGCTATTTCTAGGAAAGTACTAGATGGATCTTTCTCAAATTTCATATGCAGTTTCCCCTTGGTCCCTAGTTGTGCATTGTACCTTTTTTGAACTGATTAGCATTCAAGATGGCCGACAGGTGGCCATCTTGGATTTTGGAAGTAAAAGTTTGTTACCGCTATTTCTGGAAAAGTACTGGATGGATCTTCCTCAAATTTCATATGCAGTTTCCCCTTGGTCCCTAGTTGTGCATTGTACCTTTTTTGGACTGATTCGAATTCAAGATGGCCGACAGGTGGCCATCTTGGATTTTGGAAGTAAAAGTTTGTTACTGCTATTTCTTGGAAAGTACTAGATGGATCTTTCTCAAATTTCATATGCAGTTTCCCCTTAGTCCCTAGTTATGCATTATACCTTTTTTGGACTGATTCGAATTCAAGATGGCCGACAGGTGGCCATCTTGGATTTTGGATGTAAAAGTTTGTTACTGCTATTTCTTGGAAAGTACTAGATGGATCTTTCTCAAATTTCATATGCAGGTTCCCTTTGGTTCCAAGTTCAACCTTTTTGGACTGATCCGAAATCAAGATGGCTGACAGGCAGCCGTCTTGGATTTTGAGAGTAAAATCTTGTTACTGCTATATCTGAGGAAGTCCAGGATGGATCCTTCTGATATTTCATAGATATTGGTTTCCCTTGGTCCCTAGTTGTGCATTGTACCTTTTTTGGACTGATTTGAAATCAAGGTGGCCCACAGGCAGCCATCTTGGATGTCGACAGTAATACAGCACAAGCATATTGTCCATTATCCACCTGTAACTGACTGCTATCTAATAATACTTTGGGATCTTTTTCAAATGATATTTGCTAATAGGTGCTTAATAAAAATATCTTGTGCCATCATTGAGTACATTCAATGAAGACCAGTTCATGAACATTTACAACACCTGTAACAAACAAAAAAAAATCTTCAAGAACTGAAAACAGATCCTCAAATGGTGGGCGCCAAGATCCCGCTGGGATCTCTTGTTGTATTAACAGTGGGTTCCAGCTCTATGGAGCAGAAAAAATGGGGCGTAGTAGTGGAAATAGAGCAAATTCTTTAAAATCCTGCTTCAGTATGGGGCTGTTGTATGTTCATGTTGCATTCATAAAATTTCAACCAATATAATATTTTAGCAACTGTATAATTGGCAGTTGTGTGTTATATTTCCCAATTTTTCTGTGGTAATTTGTTCAGTCCCAGGTGATATATATATCCAAATAATGATTAATTGGATGTTTCCATTATACATTATAGCTATACAATGCAGCAGATATGCAAGAGGAGAAAGTACGCATCAGCAGATCTCTGGGCACCATCAAATCTCCAGAACTCAAAAAGAAAGTTCTCCAGTTTGCCATGTCTGTAAGTCAGCATAGTTTTTCTCACTAAATGGTAAACAGTTACTCTGTTTTGTTACACCTATAATTAGTCACAACAGAAATTTGTTTTTATTTCAGATTATGCCTGGTATAGGAATTATTAGCTCTGTGTTTGAAATTTTCTGTTTGTGGTCTACCTATGAATCTTATGTCAATCTTTCAGTTTATCATAACGAATTTGCATCAATCATAGCTCATATAGTAGGTATACAGTATCCAAATTGGTATGTTGTTTTATGAGGACTTTGTTCCATCACATATGAAAGTAGGTCACTGTAACAGTCTCAGGGTGAACTATTGCGATCCCTTTTTGTTGTGAGTCGTAAATTTTAACAATTTCAACTTCTGGAAAACTCCTGAACTGATTTCAATGAAATTTTACAAAAATCTTCCATGGCTTAAAGTGCACCAGTATTGTAAATTATATGTTTCCCAACCTCCAGGGGCCTAAGGAGTGGAGCCAAAACGAGTCAAATTGGTTGAAACTTCAAAAATCTTCCTCTCAAATCCCATGTTTGGTAGAATTAAATACTCTTCTTGGATGGTAGGGTCTTTAGATGCTTTACCAAAATTGTAAATTTCATGTCCGCAGGGTCTCAAAATTCCCCCATTGGAGGGGGTAAAATTTACTTTATTTTGTGTAGGAAAATTACATTTTTGAGCATAATTTGTTTATTTTCTTTCAGAAATAGTTCAAACTTCGTTAGAATTTTATTTCTTATTAGTATAAGCTGATTGATGAGATACATATATTGACCTTGACTGACTCCCAGGGAGCTGATGGGTGGAGCTAAAAGTGGGTCAAATTGACTGAAATTTCAAAGATTTTCTATTGTTCCTGGATGGAAGATTTTATATAGGAAAATTCAAATCTTGTGTGAATTTCTTTAAATTCAAATTTGGTTAGAAACCGTAGCATGGGACAGCAGTTAATGTATACATGATTTACATTTACATTATGTGTACAATATAGATTCTATTACTTTTTTAACAAAATCATTTCTATGACATTTCTATCACAAGTACCATTGTGACTCAAGTGATCGTTAACGTCCTTGTGCCTCTTGTTACTCAAGTTACTTATTGCAATCACCTTTTGTCCGGCATAGTGTGTCGTAAACAATTTACATTTTTTACTTTTTGTCAATAATAAAAAAAGACATGAGTGCTGATATTGGGTCTGTAGCATGCTTGGACAAAGGGCTACCAACTTGTTAAAATGAATGACCTTGACCCTCTTTCAAGGTCACAGGAGTCAAATGTGTTGAAATATTTTACACAACTTCTTCTCAATTACTAAAAGGTCCATGGTGCTGATATTTGGCCTGTAGCAAGCTGGGATGAAGTGCTACCAAGTTGTTCATATCATTGACCCTGACCCATTTTCAAAGTCACAGGTGTCAAATATATCAAAATCTTTAAACAACTTCTCAGTAATCAAAACTTTGGCAAGCGAGGATGAAGGGTTACCAATTTGTTCATGTGATTGACATTTTCCCTTTTTAAAGGTCACAGGGTTTAAATGTGTCAAAAACAAAAACATGCAGGCTGTTAAATTGGTTTTTTGTTGATGGAGGGTGACTGATTTGTTAAAATAATTGATCTTGACCTGTATTCTAGATCTGTTACATCAAGTGAGTTTAGATCTTAAAGTTTCTTTTTCGACAAGCTATAGGTTCAGAGTAATGGCATTTGTGTAGTAGTATGTATAAAGAATATGATTTCAAGTTTGCAGAAAATGTTTTTATGAACCAATGTCTTCTAGTTGAACAATTTATTGCAGACTTATTAAGCCTTTTTTTCATATATAGATCTTTATAGTCAGATGAATTTTAAGGCCCATTGACCTTTTTTTGAGGGGTGAGGAAAAAGTTTTTTTTTTTTTTTTTCAAGAGGCATATGAAAAATAAATATCGAAGCTTAATGCAGACAGAGTATAACCATAGTGCAATTGATTGTTTCTTGTTGTGCATTTTTAAAAGTGTGTATATAATTTCTGGATTGGTATAATGTGCTGTTGTTCTATAGATTGTTTATGATTTTGTGCTTTAAGGATAAGGTGCGTTCCCAGGACACCGTCTTTGTGATTGCTGGGATAACAGGATCAGTGGAGGGTCGAGAAATAGCTTGGCAGTTTGTCAAGGATAACTGGACAGATCTTCACAGTCGCTACAAGGGTGGCTTCTTACTATCAAGGCTTGTCAAGGTAAGATATAAGAGCGGCAAGTAAGGATAGCTGAGTTACAATAGCATTACTTGAGTGGGGAGAGGGGATGGAGGTTGATAGGCCAGTCAGTACACCAGCACCTAGGTAGAGCTGTGATAGGCCAATCAGCAGTACACCAGCACCTAGGTGGAGCTGTGATAGGTCAGTCAGCAGTACACCAGAACCTAGGTGGAGCTGTGATAGGCCAATCAGCAGTACACCAGCACCTAGGTAGAGCTGTGATAGGCCAATCAGCAGTACACCAGCACCTAGGTGGAGCTGTGATAGGTCAGTCAGCAGTACACCAGAACCTAGGTGGAGCTGTGATAGGCCAATCAGCAGTACACCAGCACCTAGGTAGAGCTGTGATAGGCCAATCAGCAGTACACCAGCACCTAGGTGGAGCTGTGATAGGTCAGTCAGCAGTACACCAGAACCTAGGTGGAGCTGTGATAGGCCAATCAGCAGTACACCAGCACCTAGGTAGAGCTGTGATAGGCCAATCAGGAATACACGAGCACCTAGGTCGAGCTGTGATAGGTCAGTCAGCAGTACACCAGAACCTAGGTGGAGCTGTGATAGGCCAATCAGCAGTACACCAGCACCTAGGTAGAGCTGTGATAGGCCAATCAGCAGTACACCAGCACCTAGGTGGAGCTGTGATAGGTCAGTCAGCAGTACACCAGAACCTAGGTGGAGCTGTGATAGGCCAATCAGCAGTACACCAGCACCTAGGTAGAGCTGTGATAGGCCAATCAGCAATACACCAGCACCTAGGTCGAGCTGTGATAGGTCAGTCAGCAGTACACCAGAACCTAGGTGGAGCTGTGATAGGCCAATCAGCAGTACACCAGCACCTAGGTAGAGCTGTGATAGGCCAATCAGCAGTACACCAGCACCTAGGTGGAGCTGTGATAGGTCAGTCAGCAGTACACCAGCAACTAGGTGGAGCTGTGATAGGCCAGTCAGCAGTACACCAGCAACTAGGTGGAGCTGTGATAGGCCAGTCAGAGGTACACCAGCACCTAGGTGGAGCTGTGATAGGCCAATCAGCAGTACACCAGCACCTAGGTGGAGCTGTGATAGGTCAGTCAGCAGTACACCAGAACCTAGGTGGAGCTGTGATAGGCCAATCAGCAGTACACCAGCACCTAGGTAGAGCTGTGATAGGTCAGTCAGCAGTACACCAGAACCTAGGTGGAGCTGTGATAGGCCAGCCAGTACACTAGCACCTAGGTGGATCTGTGATAGGTCAGTCAGCAGTACACCAGCACCTAGGTGGAACTGTGATAGGCCAGTCAGCAGTACACCAGTACCTAGGTGGAGCTGTGATAGGGCAGTCAGCAGTACACCAGCAACTAGGTGGAGCTGTGATAGGCCAGTCAGCAGTACACCAGCAACTAGGTGGAGCTGTGATAGGCCAGTCAGAGGTACACCAGCACCTAGGTGGAGCTGTGATAGGTCAGTCAGCAGTACACCAGCAACTAGGTGGAGATGTGATAGGCCAGTCAGCAGTACACCAGCACCTAGGTGGAGCTGTGATAGGTCAGTCAGCAGTACACCAGCACCTAGGTGGAGCTGTGATAGGCCAGTCAGCAGTACACCTGCACCTGGTTGGAGCTGTGATAGGCCAGTCAGCAGTACAATTGTACCTAGGTGGAGCTGTGATAGGTCAGTACACCAGTACCTAGGTGGAACTGTGATACACAAGTCAGCAGTGCACCAGCACCTAGGTGGAGCTGTGATAGGTCAGTCAGCAGTACAATTGTACCTAGGTGGAACTGTGATAGGTCAGTCAGCAGCACACCAGCACCTAGGTGGAGCTATGATAGGTCAGTCAGCAGTACACCAGCACCTAGATGGAGCTGTCATAGGTCAGTCAGCAGTACAATTGTACCTAGGTGGAGCTGTGATAGGTCAGTACACCAGTACCTAGGTGGAACTGTGATACACAAGTCAGCAGTGCACCAGCACCTAGGTGGAGCTGTGATAGGTCAGTCAGCAGTACAATTGTACCTAGGTGGAACTGTGATAGGTCAGTCAGCAGCACACCAGCACCTAGGTGGAGCTATGATAGGTCAGTCAGCAGTACACCAGCACCTAGATGGAGCTGTGATAGGTCAGTCAGCAGTACACCAGTACCTAGGTGGAGCTGTGATAGGTCAGAACACCAGTACCTAGGTGGAACTGTGATACACAAGTCAGCAGTGCACCAGCACCTAGGTGGAGCTGTGATAGGTCAGTCAGCAGTACAATTGTACCTAGGTGGAACTGTGATAGGTCAGTCAGCAGTACACCAGCACCTAGGTGGAGCTATGATAGGTCAGTCAGCAGTACACCAGTACCTAGGTGGAGCTGTGATAGGCCAGTCAGCAGTACACCAGTACCTATTGGGGACTATGTTAGCTCAGTCAGCAGTACACCAGTACCTAGGTGGAACTGTGATACACAAGTCAGCAGTGCACCAGCACCTAGGTGGAGCTGTGATAGGTCAGTCAGCAGTACAATTGTACCTAGGTGGAACTGTGATAGGTCAGTCAGCAGTACACCAGCACCTAGGTGGAGCTGTGATAGGTCAGTCAGCAGTACACCAGTACCTAGGTGGAGCTGTGATAGGCCAGTCAGCAGTACACCAGTACCTATTGGGGACTATGTTAGCTCAGTCAGCAGTACACCAGCACCTAGGTAGAGCTGTGATAGGCCAATCAGCAGTACACCAGCACCTAGATGGAATTGTGATAGGCCAGTCAGCAGTACAATTGTACCTAGGTGGAGCTGTGATAGGTCAGTACACCAGTACCTAGGTGGAACTGTGATACACAAGTCAGCAGTGCACCAGCACCTAGGTGGAGCTGTGATAGGTCAGTCAGCAGTACAATTGTACCTAGGTGGAACTGTAATAGGTCAGTCAGCAGTACCCCAGCACCTAGGTGGAGCTATGATAGGTCAGTCAGCAGTACACCAGCACCTAGGTGGAGCTGTGATAGGTCAGTCAGCAGTACAACTGTGATACACAAGTCAACAGTGCACCAGCACCTAGGTGGAGTTGTGATAGGTCAGTCAGCAGTACACCAGCACCTAGGTGGAGCTGTGATAGGCCAGTCAGCAGTACAATTGTACCTAGGTGGAACTGTAATAGGTCAGTCAGCAGTACCCCAGCACCTAGGTGGAGCTATGATAGGTCAGTCAGCAGTACACCAGTACCTATTGGGGACTATGTTAGCTCAGTCAGCAGTACACCAGTACCTAGGTGGAGCTGTGATAGGGCAGTCAGCAGTACACCAGCAACTAGGTGGAGCTGTGATAGGCCAGTCAGCAGTACACCAGCACCTAGGTGGAGCTGTGATAGGCCAGTCAGCAGTACACCAGTACCTAGGTGAAGCTGTGATAGGTCAGTACACCATTACCTAGGTGGAACTGTGATAGGCCAGTCATCAGTACACCAGTACTTAGATGGAACTGTAATAGGCCAGTCAGCAGTACACCAGCACCGAGGTGGAACTGTGATAGGCCAGTCAGCAGTACACCAGCACCTAGGTGGAACTGTGATAGGCCAGTCAGCAGTACACCAGCACCTAGGTGGAGCTGTGATAGGCCAGTCAGCAGTACACCAGTACCTATTGGGGACTATGTTAGCTCAGTCAGCAGTACACCACCACCTAGGTAGAGCTGTGATAGGCCAATCAGCAGTACACCAGCACCTAGATGGAACTGTGATAGGCCAGTCAGCAGTACCTAGGTGGAACTGTGATACACAAGTCAGCAGTGCGCCAGCACCTAGGTGGAGCTGTGATAGGTCAGTCAGCAGTACAATTGTACCTAGGTGGAACTGTAATAGGTCAGTCAGCAGTACAACTGTGATACACAAGTCAACAGTGCACCAGCACCTAGGTGGAGTTGTGATAGGTCAGTCAGCAGTACAATTGTACCTAGGTGGAACTGTGATAGGTCAGTCAGCAGTACACCAGCACCTAGGTGGAGCTATGATAGGTCAGTCAGCAGTACACCAGTACCTAGGTGGAGCTGTGATAGGTCAGTCAGCAGTACACCCGTACCTAGGTGGAGCTGTGATAGGCCAGTCAGCAGTACACCAGTACCTAGGTGGAGCTGTGATAGGTCAGTACACCAGTACCTAGGTGGAACTGTGATAGGCCAGTCATCAGTACACCAGTACCTAGATGGAGCTGTGATAGGTCAGTCAGCAGTACAATTGTACCTAGGTGGAACTGTAATAGGTCAGTCAGCAGTACCCCAGCACCTAGGTGGAGCTATAATAGGTCAGTCAGCAGTACACCAGCACCTAGGTGGAGCTGTGATAGGTCAGTCAGCAGTACAACTGTGATACACAAGTCAACAGTGCACCAGCTCCTAGGTGGAGTTGTGATAGGTCAGTCAGCAGTACACCAGCACCTAGGTGGAGCTGTGATAGGTCAGTCAGCAGTACAATTGTACCTAGGTGGAGCTGTGATAGGTCAGTACACCAGGACCTAGGTGGAACTGTGATACACAAGTCAGCAGTGCACCAGCATCTTGGTGGAGCTGTGATAGATCAGTCAGCAGTACAATTGTACCTAGGTGGAACTGTAATAGGTCAGTCAGCAGTACCCCAGCACCTAGGTGGAGCTATGATAGGTCAGTCAGCAGTACACCAGCACCTAGGTGGAGCTGTGATAGGTCAGTCAGCAGTACAACTGTGATACACAAGTCAACAGTGCACCAGCACCTAGGTGGAGTTGTGATAGGTCAGTCAGTAGTACAATTGTACCTAGGTGGAACTGTGATAGGTCAGTCAGCAGTACACCAGCACCTAGGTGGAGGTATGATAGGTCAGTCAGCAGTACACCAGCACCTAGGTAGAGCTGTGATAGGTCAGTCAGCAGTACACCAGTACCTATTGGGGACTATGTTAGCTCAGTCAGCAGTACACCAGCACCTAGGTGGAGCTATGATAGGTCAGTCAGCAGTACACCAGCACCTAGGTGGAGCTGTGATAGGTCAGTCAGCAGTACACCAGGACCTAGGTGGAACTGTGATAGGCCAGTCAGCAGTACACCAGTACCTAGGTGGAGCTGTGATAGGTCAGTACACCAGTACCTAGGTGGAACTGTGATAGGCCAGTCATCAGTACACCAGTACCTAGATGGAACTGTAATAGGCCAGTCAGCAGTACACCAGCACCTAGGTGGAACTGTGATAGGCCAGTCAGCAGTACACCAGCACCTAGGTGGAACTGTGATAGGCCAGTCAGCAGTACACCAGCACCTAGGTGGAACTGTGATAGGCCAGTCAGCAGTACACCAGCACCTAGGTGGAGCTGTGATAGGCCAGTCAGCAGTACACCAGTACCTAGTGGGGGCTATGTTAGCTCAGTCAGTACACCACTACCTAGTAGGGGCTATGTTAGCTCAGTCAGTACACCAGCACCTAGTTGAGGCTATGTTAGCTCCGTCAGTACAGCAGTACGTAGTGGGGGCTATGTTAGCTCAGTCAGTACACCAGTACCTAGTGGGGGCTATGTTGGCTCAGTCAGTACACCAGTGCCTAGTGGGGGCTATGTTGGCTCAGTCAGTACACCAGTACCTATTTGGGGCTATGTTAGCTCAGTCAGTACACCAGTACCTATTTGGGGCTATGTTAGCTCAGTCAGTACACCAGTACCTAGTGGGGGCTATGTTAGCTCAGTCAGTACATGCTTGCCTTATCACTTATCTTTAATTGAAGATCGTTGGTTATGTCTTGCCAACTGAAATCAACAAAATCACATTGCTTTTTTCACTAACTGTCTAGATCAAATAAAGTCAATATCATCATTGATACCAATTTTCTAATTAAATTATAATTATACTAATATAATACTGTCTTTATCCTAATATTTCACTGTTAATATAGAAAAATAGACCCCATGACATGGACGTATCTGCCCAAAGTACTGATATTTCATCTTCATCTGCAATATGAAATGGTACACTAAGAGTACAATAACTGTGCGACAATGTTACATTTTTAGTTTGAGTGAGAACTACATATACAATTGGTCCGGATACCACGACCTTATAAGTAGTTTCTGAAATTGACACTAGCTATATTCGTAGGTCACTGTTGCATAAAACATTAATCTCGTAGATTTAATGTCAATTGTTCACCACACTTCAGACTACAGCTTTATGATTGAGGACATTTTTTTGTTTGTTTTGTAGTTACTAATATGGATATTCAAGTATATATACTTGTCAATATTTCACTGGAATTGTTAGCCAGACTTAATCAGAGATCTTGTGATCCAAGGAAGTGCAGCTACCTTGCTCGAAATCACATTCTACATCAAATAAATTGATTTTACATTGAAGACTTTCATTAGGAGGCATATAAAGGTGTTGTAATATTAACAAGATTGATATTGAAATTGCAAGGTTAACCTACATGTAGGACTGTGTTAATTCAAAATTGTATACCAGAAACAAAACTGGAAAAAAAAATTTGCATACATATCAAATTTTAAGCATCAAATTATTCTTACACTTTGTGTCCCCTCAAAGTTAATCACTTTTGTGGACAAACACCTTATATTGAAGGAATGAAAATCAGTTATGTCTTCACAGGGTTTGACATTCTTGAATTCAGGCACTTGGTTCAACTTGTTTACCAAACTAGTCACATATGTTCCAGTAATATATGTGCCCAAACCGTTGAGATGATCAGTGATGACATCAAATAGATTGGGTTTCCACCAACTTCTAAACAAAATTTTGGACATTTTGAGAGAAGAGGTCTGCTCGCCAAAATGTCTGACTTTCGATGTAAAAGCTAGAGGAAACTGGGGCTACGAAATAGTACCAACCCACATCGTTCCTCATAGTTCTTATTCATTTATGGGTTTCATGTATTGCAGCAGATGAGTTAGCAATAGCCCTCCTAGGTTTTGTCGTCTTTTATTATACGTGTGCAAATGTTAAAGTGTTTTTATTTGTGGTGAGGTAACAATTAATATCATATTTGTGTATGCATATCACTGAGTGGTATAATGATAACATTATCATTTGTATCTTTATCAAGAATTTATTAAGTGACACCAACCTGTTGACTGTAAGGGGTATTATATCCCTAATTTAAGTCAGTGGTTTACCCAAACCTCAGAATATATTAATCTTATGAAAGCAGCAACTATATTCAGGTATCATACTCTCTAATTCACAGAATTAGATTAACCAAACAGCACTCTTTATTCTCAACAACTGATGGATGTTGTCATACCGACTGCTGCCAGATCATAGCCATGGACACTTACCTGTGTCAAGTTGTCTAGTATCTGGTTTTGAAATCAAAGGAATCTATGGTTAACGAACACCATATTACTGTCATTGAATGTCAAACGTCCTATATAAGTACAACATGTATGTGATCAGTGCTAACATAAAATGGGTATGTTCACCTATTGAAATATCTCATACCAACACATATCTTAGATAACTTAGATATAGAAATAAAAAACATCACACATGTTTTTCTTTCCAAATATATGACATTACTTGACCATAACTATACTTTATTGTATTCTAGCTTTTGCAACAGAGGAGGACTGTCAACGGTAGGTCACATGTGACCTCATATTCTCACCAGCCTCGTTATTGCTCATAAAAAGATTTAGTGATCGGGTGACATAATCTGTATCTAAGTTGATAAAAACTTTGTTGATAAAAAAAGATAATGGTCTGACAAGTCATGATGTATATTGGGATGTTTACTAGGTACTGATGTACTTCCATGGTTACATACAGCTACATCATGCCTTCAACCGGCTCTTGCCGATTTCCGTTATTTTGACCCTCAGCCTGGTAGATAAAACCTTTCTAATACAGAACCTACATGTCTATTCTGAAACTATCGTTACTTTATCAACATTCTTATTTATTTCTCTCACTAATTTCTTGTTTAAATGACTTGCACAATTAACAGCTAACCTATTTTAGGACAAGTCAATACAGAGTTAATTATCTACGTGATAAACACAGATTATGCTTTCTATCATTATCACATGGTCAGATACGACAGCATGATACACACCACTTTCAGAAATATCAGCTATTTGTAATGCATTATCTAAAACCAACAATATGTTGTTAAAGGAAAACATAAACAGGTCAAATGATGTTCATTTCAAAAGACGGACATTTTGTTATTTCATACATGTATATATATATGAACTAGCCCCTAGTGGGGCTGTGATAGCTCTGTCAGTTCACCAACACCTAGGGAGTTGTGATAGCTCAGTCAGTACACCAGCACCTAACGAGGCTGTGATAGCTAAGTCAGTACACCAGCACCTAGGGTGAGCTGTGATAGTTCTGTCAGTACACCAGAACCTAGGGTGAACTGTGATAGCTCTGACAGTACACCAGCACCTAGGGTGAGCTGTGACAGATCTGTCAGTACACCAGAACCTAGGGAGAGCTGTGATAGCTCTGTCAGTACACCAGTAGCTAACGAGGCTGTGATAGCTAAGTCAGTACACCAGCACCTAGTGTGAGCTGTGATAGATCCGTCAGTACACCAGCACCTAGGGTGAGCTGTGATAGCTCTGACAGTACGCAAGCAACTAGGGTGAGCTGTGATAGATCTGTCAGTACACCAGAACCTAGAGTGAGCTGTGGTAGATCTGCCAGTACACCAGAACGTAGGGTGAGCTGTGATAGCTCTGACAGTATACTAGAACCTAGAGTGAGCTGTGATAGATCTGTCAGTACATCAGAACCTAGGAAGCTATGATAACTCAGTCAGTATACCAGTACCTAACAAGGCTGTGATAGATCTGTCAGTACACCAGTACCTAAAAAGGCTGTGATAGATCTGTCAATACACCAGAACCTAGGAAGCTATGATTACTCAGTCAATATACCAGTACCTAACGAGGCTGTGATAGATCTGTCAATAAACCAGAACCTAGAGTGAGCTGTGATAGCTCTGTCAGTACACCAGAACCTAGAGTGAGCTGTGATAGCTCTGTCAGTACACCAGAACCTAGAGTGAGCTGTGACAGATCTGTCAGTACACCAGAACCTAGAGTGAGCTGTGATAGCTCTGTCAGTACACCAGAACCTAGGGTGAGCTGTGATAGATCTGTCAGTACACCAGAACCTAGGGTGAGCTGTGATAGATCTGTCAGTACACCAGAACCTAGAGTGCGCTGTGATAGATCTGTCAGTACACCAGAACCTAGGGAGCTATGATAGCTGTCAGTACACCAGAACCTAGAGTGAGCTGTGATAGCTCTGTCAGTACACCAGAATGTAGGGTGAGCTGTGATAGATCTGTCAGTACACCAGAAACTAGAGTGTGCTGTGATAGCTCTGTCAGTACACCAGAACCTAGAGTGAGCTGTGATAGATCTGTCAGTACACCAGAACCTAGGGAGCTATGATAGCTGTCAGTACACCAGAACCTAGGGTGAGCTGTGATAGCTCTGTCAGTACACCAGAATCTAGGGTGAGCTGTGATAGATCTGTCAGTACACCAGAAACTAGAGTGTGCTGTGATAGCTCTGTCAGTACACCAGAACCTAGAGTGAGCTGTGATAGCTCTGTCAGTACACCAGAACCTAGGATGAGCTGTGATATATCTGTCAGTACACTAGAACCTAGAGTGAGCTGAAATAGATCTGTCAGTAAACCAGAACTAGGAGGCTGTGATAGTTCAGCTCTGTGGGTACCATCACAAATTTATGAGGAGATATCAGGATTTAGAGTCATTTAATCAGAAATAAACTACCAGACAATGTAAAAGCCTTTTGTATTTACCAAAGAAAGCAGGTCAAAGTTCTCCATCTTTAATATGATGGAAATGATATCCATGAAATGAATAACATAAGATATTTTGACGAAAATTTTTATCATCCATGTAAAGGATGTAATGTTTGCACAATAATAATGTTTTATGTACTATTGTTTCAGTCTACCACAGAGAACTTTGTAACAGAAGATAAAGCCAAGGACATAGAGGTGAGCAGGCAACACTATGTCAGTTCAGTAGTGTGAAATGGGGCATAAATTGTGTGATGTGCATAATTTAAAGATCTATATAATAATGCTTAAATCTTTTATTATTACCAAGGTATTTATAACTGAGATTCTGATCCTTAGTTGGTGGGTAGTATGCACTCATTTAATAGCACTGTTATTTAACAAATATGAAAGTGCTTGTATTGGAAACCCTGGAAATTTTTTTCAGTTATGAACACATGTAGAAATTAAAGTGTGTTTTAAAATTCAGAACATTATGTTACAAAATCATAGTCTGGTATTATGATATTGTACGCAAAGGAATTTTGATCCTTTATGTATTAATTATTTATTTATCTTTTATTTAGAAATTTTTTGAAGAACATTCTGCACCTGCTGCCGAAAGAACCATTCAACAATCCTGTGAAAACATTCGCCTCAATGCCAAATGGATGCAACGCGACTCAGCCAATGTCTCAGAGTTTTTGAAAAGTCTGAAATTCTGATTTGCTGACTAAATCAAAGATGTTGGTTCAAAACCAGAAACCTTGAACCAAATTGAACTGTATAAGAACCAGAAGTTTAAAGGTGTGAAACGGTCTTGAAAAGATTTTCAAATTTTCACATTGAAGACAATTATCGTTGTTGTGCATTACCTAATCCAGAACAGAGTGCTGATCAATCATTGTGTTTTTATAATGAATAAGATTGAGACTTGTTTCTGTTTATTGGTTGTAGGACTGGAAGTTGTGATCAACCTCAAAACAACACAAATAATTGTATATGTCATCTCTGATAGGTTTTTCATTGTTGTGACATCTTTTGAAACACAAAATATTAAAATAACTACATGGACATTAACATCAATAACTGTAACAATGAAAACCTGCAATGAAAGCTGACTGAGAATTTCCAAAATATTTTCTGAAGACAAAGCTGTATACAATGAAATATACACAATAAGAACTGGGATCTCTCCAAGGTTATGACAAATTTTGGTTTACTTTACATATAGGAAATAGAATAACTTCAATTATAGACAAATGTAGGCTTCATTTACAAACAGGAACTAGGATCACCTTTTTTATTTAAAACAGGTATTGCATTAACTAAGGTACATTTTTTTGTTTTGTTTTTTGGTTTTCATTTTAACATCTGAACAATTTCTGCATTAAGGCATCCTTATGTATTTCTTCCTTATTTACGGTTACCAACAAACCAACAATGCCTGTTACAGGACACTAATCACAAAGATTCAGATCAGGAATGAAGATTTGTGAGTGTGTTTGGTCCATCACACATAGAAATTTTTATCAGTCAGAAAATATTTTCTCACATTAGATTGATATCCAATTACTCTAATACAGTAAATATGATTTGCATTATAGATAAAACATCTGGTAGCTATATTTTGGGTCCAAATTTTGTTAGTGATTCTTAGCACTATAACATAAATTGTTACTAGGATTGACTTTCTAAAAGCTTTGTACAATTTGAATTATTTTTCAGCAACATTTGTTTTTTCATCTGTTTTTGTGTCGCCTGCAGAGCTTGCAAACACTTAGGGATCACTTTGTCCATCATCCGTATGAAAGCTTTCCAGACTTTTTTCTGTAATGCTTTGAGTTATCAAAACTAAATTTGGCATATGGCTTTTTGTTGCAAGGGTTCAGATTAAGTTCAATTCCCGGCTGTCTGTGACCCTTTTTGGCAGAGTTATGCCCCTTTCAACTTAGAAAATTTCCTGGGAATATTGTTTTCTGGACTTTTTTGGCTTATGCTTTGAGTTATTGAAATGAAATTTGGTATATGGCTTCTTGTTGCAAGGGTACAGATTAAGTGTAATTCCCGGTTGTCTGTGATCCTTTTTGGCAGAGTTATGCCCCTTTCAACTTAGAAAATTTCTCAGGAATATTGCTTTGCGCAGTTTTCCCTTTATGCTTCAAGTTATAGAAATGAAATCTGGTATTACAACTTTATGAGTGATCGTTGCACATCCAGTTCAATTTCTGGGTGACCGTGACACTTTATGCAGGCAACACATACACTTCCGAGGAACTCTTGTTCAATCTTAGTAATCCCATTTTTTTATATTGATTCCAGTAGTCTGCATGTTGATGACAAACTAATGTCTTATGAATACCTTAGACAGCATAATTAAGTACTTAAACAGTCTTTGACTTGAAATAATGTATCATCATGCATTTAATGCCTTATTTACCACACTTGTGAGCTGATTTTCCAATTTTTTCATGTGCCCACCATTTCATGTATGACATTCCATCATAATTTTGTTTCTGCCATTTTACTCTTTTTAAAGGTAACATATACAGAACTTTAATTTGGTATGAGACACAGATACAGAACTTTAATGTGGTATGAGACACAGATACAGAACTTTAATGTGGTATGAGACACAGATACAGAACTGTAATTTGGAATGAGAACCATATATAGAGAAGTGTAATTTGGTACGAGATACAGATATAGAATTGTAATTTGACATGTAGTTGTATAATATAAATATTCAGGTCAAGTTATTGTCAATAATTTATTTTATCAAGGTTTATAGCCATTTAACTGCAAACAATTTTGATAAGAATTACCCAAGTAAGATCATTGCCATAATTGAAAAACGTTGACTAAATCCAATGGGAATTTAGATAATAAAAATTTCAAAAATGCAATTTCCAATTTTCTCCTTGGCTTTAGATTGGGGCAATCATGTTATAAAATGAAAACTTGTTATATTTCATAAGTTGAGACTAGAGTTGAGATGTTCTTGCTCCGGCAAAAGCCCGAGTGAGTAGGGGTCCCGCCAGTGGAGACTAGTCTCACTCCTGTCTTGCTGTCAAGAACCAATCCATACTGGCTAGAAAGGTGGTGGTATTTATACTAGCCATGTTAATTAACTGATGAAGTACTAATACACATTGGCTTACTGGTAAACATGGATTGAAGTATACATGAGTTGCCGACAAGATCTTGCACACATAAATGGCAATAGATTCGGCTGTTTACAACAAGATAAGGTTATACTGACCATCATACAAACTGCTTAGATAGGCTTCAGATAATGACTTATATAATCAGGCAACGAACTAATATATGAGCATGTGTAGTAGATCGGTAACGACAGAATACCTCTGGCCACTGGTCAATGCATAATTGTTCACAGTAGATGTCAGTAATAAATTAACACAGGCAAATACATTATGATGAAACATCTGACTTATGTCTAGCATAATTTTGAATAATTTAATCTTACATATTAATTTTTAATAGTTCAGTTACTTTGACAGGTCTGGTTCATTTCAGAAATATAACCACTGCTACGTTACAGAAAAGACAAAGCTGTACTTAATTTACACTGATTAGGGTGTGTACCAAATTAATTTGTCTCTTAGATTTGAAACATTGTATCTATTATGATGTCTTTTGTTTTTCTTAATTTGCAGTTGGTTTCATATTGCTCTTAAACCTGTAACTGAATATTAAAGTGCTGATATGACATTTCAGCTTGTTGAGTCATCTGGAAATAAATGCTGGATTGATTGTTGTGAGAGCTATTGCCATTTAATAGAATTAGTAATGGTTTACAGAAAAAGATATGGCAAAAAGTGGAAAGTTCATTTTAACTGCAATGGGAGATCTTAGAGAAAAAGTATTACCAAAAAATCCTTAAAATGAAATCCTTGTTTAACTGCAGTGGAGATTTACAAAATATGACCAGTGAGTTTGGAAATCATGGATTCTGCAGGCAGAACTGTTGTTGAAAGACTTTTAAGTTATTATTCGAATTCCATAAAAGGCTCTGCCCCGGTACGCCCGGGGGTCAGGACCACTTTTCATGCAAAAGGAAGCCCGTTTTACTCGTTGATGCTGCAGACCAAAATCCCGTTATTCCTTCTGTAACAGTAGAGAGATTCTAATTTCATTTTGATTTCTTTACCATAAATAGTTTCTGAAGTCAGAACTTTACATTTATTCCAGGATTGGTAACATCTGGAGGTGAGGATTTTCCTTACAACTGCTACATCAGGGATATAATATATACCAATATCTGATTCATCTATTCTATGTTTAGGTCAGGCATTTTAGGTCATCTCACCTGAACTTTCATCAGCAACACTTGTGCTTCAGTGAGAAATTCAAAAGGTGGAAATACTAATCAAGAAGATGCATTTGTGTTGAACACGATTGCAAATAAGCAGGGAAAATTTCACCAGTTTGCTGCAATTTTATGCATTTTTCTAAAAAAAAAGTGTTTTACTTTGAGCTTCTGCAATGTAGAAAAAATCCTATTTACAGTACATTGGGTTTAAAACTATCATATCACTTCTTGGATTTTCAATATAGGAAATTTCTGTATTTTTTTATGGTAATTTTTTATACTGATTTCAATCTTTACAGTTTTCAAAGCTTTTTAATGTATAGGATTTCCTACATGGGGTTTGAAAATATGATATTGCCACTTCTTGACTAATTGATGTAGGAGTTTTCCCGCATCAGGTTTAATACCATCGTATTAACTATTCTAGGCTTCTCAAAGTAGGCATTTTTTGGGTTTGATACTGTCTTCAATCAATCAATCAAAGCTTATTGATGTAGAATATTTCCAACATCAGATCAGGAGGAGGCAAAAGGGGAAATATTGCTAGTTCTTTGAATTCATTCTTCTTCTGTAGAAAGGATTGAATTTTAGCAAAACCTTGTCTGAAGCATTCAGGAGTGACATGGAACCAGTTTGTATAAATATAGGTTCTCGGCCAGCTGGGTCGGGAGGGGGAAGGGCGCAATAGGACAAATAGAGCATATTCTTTAAAGTCCTACTCCTGTAAGAATGATTAGATTTTGCCCAACTTTGGTTTGAAGCATTTAAGGGTGAAAAGAACTTTATTTCCTATAAAAAGGTGCATCTGACCCCCTCAGAGCAGAATGGCGGGGCACCAGATGAGCATACAGTCTTTATGGCCTCTTGTTGGGTTGTATTTTTGACCACACAAACAATATTGTAAAATGCTCGCTATAATCACATATAACGAGCACAAAGCAGTGAAATATTTATGTATACATTGAGTCTCAAGTGATTATTGCAATCATATTTTTCTGGCGTCATGCATCATAGACAATTAACATTTCCAACTTCTTCTAAATAATCAAAATGCCCATGGTCATTGTATTAGGCCAGTTGAATGTTGGTATAATGGGCTACAAAGTTTGTTCAAATGAATGACCTTGATCTATGTTCATGGTAACATGGGTCAAATGTGTTAAAATCTTAAAAAACTTCATCTCAGTAACAGAATGGTCCAGGGTCTTGATATTGGGCCAGTAGCATGCTGCGAAGAAGGGCTACCGAGTTTGTTCAAATAAGTGACCTTGACTATTTTCAAGCTAATAGGGGTCAAATCTATTAAAAATCTTTAAACGGCCTTTCAAGGAACAAATGACCCAGTGTTGTCAAATTGGAGCAGCAGCATGCTTGGATGAAGGGTTACTAAGTCTTTTAAATGAATGGATTTGACCTACTTTCAAGGTCACAGGGGTCAACTGTGTTAAAATATTTTAAGGACTTCTCAATTACCGAATGACCCAGGGCCATGATATTGGACCTGTTGTACTCTTGAATGAATGAGGTTGACCCTCATTCAAGGTCATCGCGATCAAATATACTAAACTACAACAACAGACAGTTTTATCAATCCCGTTAAATTGAAAACTAAGCCTTCAAAATTAGAAATAATAAAAACCGTATACGCATGCTTTTATCAGTTCTGTTCTTTCTGTCCCAAAGCTGGGACTGATGGACAGGTTCTAAAATTGTTCATAGACCCGAAGACCTCAGGGGACCGTTAAGCCCTATGGGCCTTTCCATTTCATTCCAATAACAAGATAAATTTGCCACCGAGTTCATGGAAAAGGGCCTCATCCAAATATAAACTATCATAGTAAGTTTTTAAAAATAACACGAACTAAGAAGCTTTATTGAGCCTCAGTGCACGAATATTCGTAATTGATATACGTTATACAGTTCAGTGCTTCAATAGAATAAAATCACAGACGGAAAGTATAATCATCTGCTTTCTTTTTCATAAGGTATGTGGTGTAATTCACTTATGAAACATAAAGCTATTTGTGGCAATCAAAAAGGCTGTCAGCTAAACTTTAACACACGATATTGTTTGATGCTGATAATTATGGAAAAGGGCATTTACGTACTGCATATCTGTAAGGAGGAGCTGAAACCCTCGTTCTGAAGAACCAAAACTGAACTCTGTAAGTACAAATATTTGTAATCACATTGCGTAATTCTACATTGAAGGAACTTAATAATGACAAAACTCCCTTCTTGCTGTACTAACTAAATTCATATTAAGTTGTTTCACACTAGTGCTGCATTTTGCCTGGTAACTCTTATACCGAGGCTTCCGATTCGTCCGGAAAAGATCCATTTTTCAAAAAATTGTAATGGTCTTGGAATATATTCTACCTTCGAAAATTTTATATATGTATTTGTCAACATGTGTTTTGCAACTTAGAATGATTACACGTAGATAAATAAAACGGAAGATGTTTAACACAACAGAAATTTGGAAAATCAAGTTGACATGGTCTATGTAAAACACATTTCAAGGTGGGACATCGCACTGCCCCGAAACGTGATCTGGTTACACACAGTGCAATGTAATTTACGCCTGTATGTATCTATGTGGAGATACTATGGAATGTACAGACGGCCATTTCTGGTATGTCGTGTTTGTGTTTCGCTGTGTGTTTAGGAAATCACGGTGAAGGTCACGCGTGAATAGTTTTTACCTTGTTATGTAATGGAAATTGAAGTATAAGAATTACGTCCCTTGAATATGACTTGTAGCTAACTATAGATTGGTTAATTTGTTCATCTAATGATTTTTGACGATTAACACAAATGTTTATGATTCTGTAGTAAAGTATGGAAAGATATTCTGTACTATGTTAATATTTTGGTATGCATCATTAATGGTAAATTAAATACCAGTGATTGTCACACCTTATGAAAGTGTTTATTATACGTGTAAACAGAAATTACTTTTAATGAGGTAGATTGCTGTTATACTGACTGTTAAGGAAGCTTTCAAAGATACACAGACGACGAATTACTTCTTACAAAGTCCGTAACACAGTTATTTGTAACAGGTGGTGGGTGAAAGTCTGAACTAGTGGCTTTTCAGAAACCGCTTATCAAGCTGGTGCGAGGTTAGAGCCCGAGTTAGGAACACGAGCAAGGGTTGACTTAGTTGGTAGGACAACCTAGTGCTTAGTCAGGTTAGGTGAAGTCACTGGGTGTCGAACTTGCACTCAGGCTCACATGCTAGACAGAACAATCTGTGTCGGGACAGCAGTCCATGTGAATACTATTTCGTTCGTTAGTTTTATTGTTAACTTAGGTAAAGTTTGCTGTTACACGCTATATGTATATATCGGCATTTGTTAGGTAGTATCTCTGCAAGGAATCGGAGACTTACCCGCCGTGTGCAAAGCTAGGCTGCACGTTACAGTTGTAGTATACAGTGACAGTAAATTACTGCTGATATTCAGTATGTTACATGTAAGCTTGATAATGTATTTTTTTAATGAACAATTATTAAAAAAACTGAAATAAAAAAAACAAAGATTTGTTTATTCTGTAAAATGTTTTTACTCTATTTTGTTAATAATATAATATTATTTTCACCGCATAGTTCGTCATTGTCGGTTCAATAGATACAGCGATGAAATATTTCAATCCAGGGTTTATGTCACGGGTAATGATTTTTACTAGTTTATACAGTATAAACTTGCTGTTAACAATTATCGCAACTACTTGCCATAGCAGGATTTTTTTTAATCCAGTGTTGTCGAAGACAAGAGAATCCTTAACCCACGTGTCTGATTATTGCACAGCTACATCTGTAGGTACGTTACCATTTGTCATATAATCCTCCTGCTATCGACTGAATAAGTACTAGTGCCATGTATTCTGGAACCGATCATGATATCATCATGATAGACAGTAACGTTACGTCATTATTTTAAAATGGCGCAACGAAATGGTCGCTTCCGGTTTCATTTTTCCTCCACATTTTGACATGAAAACAAAGGGTAACATTTCTCAGTTATGTGATATAAATATCTTAAATTTGTTTTCATTTCACACGCGATTTTACGAAACTCCTCTTGAAGTTTAAGTTATCTAGCCAAGGCTCATAAAAATTAAAAATGACAATATTCAAAATAAATACTTCACATAGAAACCAAACTTGGAAATCCAGTTAAGGGCGAAAGCCTCTATAGTTCCTCCGGCGGTCAGCTACGTCTGTGTCTATCAACATTTAACTTAACTTGACTTACAATATCAGAATTCCACTTCAACGACAAGTTTGCTGTTTCTAAAGATATTATGTACTGTATTCACATTCTATGGAATTGGTGGATTAGATTGTAATTAGTGAAGTAGGACAGCATATTACAATGTTACGAGCTACAATTAA